TATCATTACTAAATATTTGTTTTTGTAGAGCGGAACTTTGTAACAATAGTGGAAACAGTTTTGATGATGGTGCGAAGGCTGGTGCTACTTGTTTTATTCCCGAGAATGCTATTTTGGAAGAATTACCTACTCGTCCAAGTATTGGGTTAGTTTGTAGTTAAAAATACCTAGCAAGACAGATTATATACTATCTTAACTGGTCTGTGTTTTTTAATATCTAGAATATATGGTCCTGCATAATATAACTCTAATGACTTTTTTTAAGGTTTAATACTGAGGAAGATAATCGGGACAAAATAATACTTGGCCTTTAAATTAGATAATACTGGTACTTCAGATCTAAAAATTCCGCATAAAATCTCAAAGGAGTCTCTTAACATTCAAGGCAATTTTAAGATGTGGAACAATGGGGTTGATGAAACAAGCAAACCGGCTTGAATGTGCAGAATTTTTTAAACTATAACGCATATTTTGTTTTTTTTTTGTTATTTGTAAATTAAAAACTTTTATGTAAATATGGCGATGGTTTAAATAATAAATTTTAGGCAAATTATTGGTTTGATTTTATGAATGTCAGAGAGTGACTCCAGGGAGCGAACAAAAGCTTATATATTAGCTTAAAATATCCAAGATAATATCATTACCAAAATGACGGACACAGTGAAAAATCGCCGGTTAAAGAAAAGAAATGCTTGCTTCCATTCAAAAAAGGCGAAAAAAAAGTACATTAAGACTATTTAATAATTCTCATGACACCTATTCGTTAAAACTTTACGACACCTATTTAAAGACATGAAAACTAGATTTTCTACCAAATATATATATTGACATCTAGGTTATATCAGGATGTATCGGAAAACTTCTTTGGAGCTATAAGAGCCAAAGGAGGACTTCATGATTGAAGGGAAGAATTGAAGGACTTCACTTGGAAGAATTGAAGGCTCTCTTTCCAGCTTTGGAAATGTCGAAGAAGATGAAACTCCTTATATACCTTTGGATAGTGCAAATTAATGTGGAAAATATTTTTCTTCAATTCAAAATAACACTATTAATGATTCAGATGTACCTACTAATATGTTTGATAATGAACTCAGTTTAGAACTCACTTTCTAAACCGAATATGACAGTTTAGAAAATTTGGCAGGTTATATATGTCACAAGCTGAAGCATATGAATTCATCTATAACTTTATCTAGTTCAAATAAGTTCACCTGGATTTCTCATTTAAGTGAAGGTTTTCATAAACTACTCCTCAAATGATGGAATATCTTGAAAAACTGAAGAAAATTTTCAATTCTATAAATAAAGATAATTTATTTGTTTTTAAAACAATATTTAAAAAAATTATTAGATGAGAGTTCTTTAGTGTTGTGCTCTAATCCAACAAAGATTTTATTTTTGAGATCCAGAATGTTTTTTAGAATTAGATAATTAAATAAAGCTTTGCATAATTTTACTTTGTCTAGAAAAAGGAAAATGGCAAAAATTGTACATTAAAGATGTTTAATAAATAAATTTATCCTTCATTTTACCCAGAACCTATCATTCCACAGTTTGCAATTTGTAACATTCGGCCATGGCTCCCTCCATCAAACTTCACTCTCATGGGAAAAGTGATATTTTCTACAATATACTAGTTTAAGTAGTTAAGCTTAAATTCACGTAGTAAATAAAAAATCTACTAAATTATATTAGAATTTCAACGTTTCGTTTCATCAGCAAGCATGAATACATTTTAAAAACTTAGCACAAGGTGACGTCATGCACGAGATGTACCAGTTTAGTGTGTGGCAATATCATATCTTGTATCCTTATATCATGAGGCGCCACCACTTTATGAAACAAACCTACATAGCAACCTTGATTTTAATCATATAGGAACTCGTTTCGAACATCTACAATGAAAATAACAATTTCTTTATTTAATTTTTTTTGTGTGTTAATTCATATTTGTAAATCTTCTTCTTTGGGTGCCGTCTTCAATGAAGGTTGGCGATAACCTCAGCAAAATCATTTCTGTCCCTGGCTTTTCTTATTAAAGATTGAGAATCCAAACCAGTCCACTCACGAATGTTCTTCAAACCAGGACGCCTGCCGTCTACCAGGACCACGTTTTCCTTCTACCTTCCCCTCTATAAGAAGCTGCAGTAGCTGGTATTTCTCATTTCTGTATATGTGTCCCAAATATGAGGTTTTCCGTGTTTTCATTATTTTTAAGAGTTCTCTGTCGGTACCCATCTTGTGTAGGACCTGCTCGTTGCTCATATGCGCTGTCCAGGGGACTTTCAGCATCCTTCGAAATAACCACATTTCAAAACTTTCCAAACGCCTGAGTGAGTTGATTTTGAAGGTCCAGGCCTCCATTCCATATAGTAAGGTGCTGTAAACGTAACATTTCAGCATTCGGTATCGGATTTTGAGATTAAGTGTTTGGGACGTAAACATTTGTTTCATTTTTAAAAAGACATTTCTTGTTTGTTCAATTCGCGATTTTATTTCTATGTCTGGATCTATATCTTTCGTTATCCAGCACCCTAGATATCGAAATTTCTCGACATTTTCGATAATGTTACCATTCACGTTTAAAGCCATGGGTGGATGGATGGATGTTTTGGAGACAATCATTGTTTTTGTTTTCTTGACGTTAATGCTGAGGCCGTATTGTTCTCCGATCGATCTGACGCGATCTAAGAGTGTCTGGAGATCCTGTGCGCTCTCTGCAATTAGGACCGTGTCGTCGGCGTATCGTACATTATTTAGAACTCTGCCGTTAATTTTTACACCTTCTCTTGATTGCTCTAGTGCTCGTGCAAAGATTTCTTCCGAATATATATTGAAAAGTAGTGGTGACAATACACACCCCTGTCGTAATATTTGTAAATAGTGAATAAAAATAATAAATATCTTCAAAACAATTAAATATAGACATAGGAAATACTAAGGACAATTTAAATTACATAATTTAAGGCTGATTTATAAACTTTACGTTGGTGTTGGCGCTGGCGCTGACGTTCGTGTTACAACATGGTCAAATGGGAAACTCGTAGAAAGGTGATGCATTTAAAAATACTATGCAAATAATTAATTTGAGTTTTGGGAAAATCAATTATATTTATGAATTTTGTTCATCATTTAAAACCTATAGCTACAACAGGTCGTTGCTTTTGTGTCCCTTTTCAAATATATAGAAGTTTGAACTTGTTATGATTTTCATTAAAATTTTTATAGGGGACGTTGAATTAAAAAAAAAATAAAGGGTGTTTCATTTAAGAAAAATATCTTTCATACGGTACGGTATTACGGAACACCCTGTATATTTTTAACTAATATTAAAATGTAAAGCTTATAGCTACCTCCTATTTCTGTAAATATCTTTTTTTTTGTATCTCCTATAATAACACATATAACAGACTGTCACAAAATTTGATCACGCTATATACGAAAATAGAACTTTACCAAAAAATCGGCTATCATCCACAAATCCAAAAAACACAAAGCAAAAAGTTGCGAAGTTCACCGCACAAATCACTATGCAAAGATATTTATGACAATAATATTTAATCAGATATCAAAGGCGATGCGGCAATGGTAGTTACTGTCTTCCGCTTACTGATGGTGCTTCTCAAATAACTCCGCTATTAAAAGAGTTCCTATGCCTCAAGGATCTGAATCAGTATTCGAAAGTTCGATAGGTCTGAATATCCTTTCGTTTTTCGTAACGTTGAGATTCATATTGAGTTTAGATGCAGAATCTCTTGCATAGTAGGGTGATGTATTACTAAAAACCTGTGTTTCTTTAAATTCAAATTGCAACGATGACAATATCATCGCTTGCCGACAGCTGGCCCTCTCTCTGTGTGCCTGTTACTCCCACCAATAATATAATACTACCATCGATGTGCGCTGGAGATGGAATAGCGTCCAGAAGTACAGAATGTTGTGAAAAACTGTTAGAACCAAGTTCGATCCAGAGTACTGTTTGGCTGGAACTTCTTGTCCGGGTCCCTGAGTAATGATTATAGTCTGCATCCTTTCCCGCAAGTATTGAACGGCCGTTTCCACGGTCTTTGGGTATTGACTAAAGATCGTTCTTCGTCTTACCCATCGGAACGCCGCTAACATTTATGTCAATGTATGAACGCCATTCACTGACATCTACGTCAAGATCCACAGTTTGTCAGTTTTATTTATGAGGATTCTTATTGTATGCATTGTATAGACGTAAATTTTATTTTGTTTGTTAATTATTTGAATATATGTATTTAAATTCAATTTGCGTTTTACTATTTAAATTAAATTTGCGCCTGGTGTCTAATAGAACTACTGATCACAAAATAGAATTTGGTGGTTGTCTTGTGGTATGTTATATTGGGTAACGACTGACCTTGCACAGTCACATCAACAACAGCTCCTGTTTATTTTTACAAATAACAAATTTCACTACGTTTTGTTGTTATAGCAGACTTAGACTTCCTTGCATCGTCTCCGATGATTTGAATATGGACTTGATTGATATGATGTTTCGTAAAGATTTTACCAATTCGATCAGTTACAGAAAAAATGTGACTATGCCAAGGACATTTTTCTTAACTTTTAAGCATTAAGGTTGTGATTAACTGGAACCCACTTTAAAATAAAATACACCGATCTGTGGCATGTGTGCCAATAGTAAATATTTGATCAGCAAATATCTTTTATTAATTCGATAGTCAGTAATATATGATAGTATCCTAAATGAGTCATATTTAATGTTTTTTCTTCAATATTATTATTCCAATATTACTCCAATAAGTTATATTCCAATTCGTGCATGAAACTAAAATTGAGGGGAACATGTAGCAAAATAAGAACACCAAAATTCCACAAAACAAATCATATGCTGTAAGCCAAAAAAAAAATTGGTGGAAAATAATGTTAACTAACAAAAACGATCTGTAAGATATAGTAAAAAAGCAAATAAATTTAATTCAGTATTGGGAATAAATTCAAATGTACTTTACCTTCCTTCGTTTGCTACTTTTTGCACGTAATCTTTGTCTTTATAATCAAAGACACAATCTGCTCCTAACTGTTTTACCAATGGCACTGCATCTTCAGCGCAAGTACCAAAAACCTAGAATAATAAATGTATAATTATATGTTTTTACGCCGGTCCCACACTTCGCTATGTGTTATTAGTTTGCGCCATATTCAGCCGCATAGGACGAAGTGTAGAAGGTACAATCGTCAGTTATTTGCTTTATTCACACGCATAAGCAAATACTCGAATAGCAAATACGCCTATCCATCCATTTACACACTTCAAAGGACACGAATAAGCCGAACGCACGCCGAATGTATGTGCCGACTGTCCACACTTCGCTCGCACCGGTGCTTTTATTTTTATAATAACCCAACTTTATTGTAATTCTCGTTATTCTTGAACCATTAAATTCGACAAATTTGTGTGTTTATATACAACTATCGTACCTATTACCGTCAATACATTTACGTCCATTTTGGTTGTGCCAAACACGCATGACGCAAATACTTGGCATGTTTGGCCCGCCGGCGCAAGCGTGGAGTAGCGTATTTGTTATTCGATGACGAATTGCAAATATATATATATATCGGTTTTAGAACGTCTTTCGACGTTGTCCGATGCCTAACTTCCACGTCCTTCTATCATCCCATTGGCCGTCTCTAAGATCTCTTGTACTCATTGCTTTAGTTACCCCTTCTTTCCATGTCTTTTTGGGTCTTCCTCGTTTTTTGCGGTTTGGTGGTACCCACTGCATAATCTTCTTGGGTAGTCTTGTGTCTTCCATTCTTTGAACATGCCCATACCAAATCAACTGTTTCCTCTCAATGTCTGTTGTTAAGTAACCATCTATTCCAATTCTTCGTCTTACTTCCTCATTTCGAACTCTTTCCCTGCGGGATATACCTAACGATCTTCTAAACACATCCATTTCTACAGCTTCTAATTTTTTTCTGTTGTTCTCGGTTATTCTCCAAGTTTCTGCTCCATAAAGTAGACTGCTTTTAATTAGTGACTCATAGATGTTATATTTTCGCTTTATTCCTATTTCAGAGCTCCAAAGTATTCCATTTAGGCAGCCAATTGTTCTTCTAGCTTGTGTAATCCTTTTCTTTATTTCCTCATCGTCTTTTCCCGTTCTATCGAAGATTACTCCCAGGTACGTATATTCACTACAGGGTGTGATTTCTTCATTGTTCTCTAGTTCGATATTGGATAACTCAGCTCCTATGGGTAGGTATTTAGTTTTTTCTACATTTATTTCCAATCCCCACTGTTCATATTCCTCCTTTAGTTTTCTTGCCATATACTCTAAGTCGTCTTTATCATTGGCTATGATGACTTGGTCATCAGCAAATTGTAAGGTATATAAACAAACATCTCCGAGGTCTATACCCATACCGTGACATTTACGTTTCCACTGGTTTAGTGCTTTTGCAATATATATCTTGAACAACGTTGGTGAAATACAGCAGCCCTGGCGCAGACCCTTGTTAACGATGAACTTTTTAGATAGTGTGTTGCCAATTTTTACTTGTGATGTAGAATTTTCATATAGATTTTTTAAGGCTTTGATTAAAGTGTAGCTAATGTTAGTTTCTTGTAGTGATTTCCACAATTTAGTTACAGGCACGCTGTCGTATGCTTTACGGAGATCAACAAACATGAGATGGGTCTCTTGGTTGGTTGCTAATTTTTTTTCAAATTAATTGTTTTAGGCAGAAGACATTATCTGTGCAAGTTCTTCCAGCTCGGAAACCAGCCTGTTCTTCTTCTTCTTGTTCCCTATACTCCATCTCAATGAGATTTCTAAGGATGCGTCCATACACCCGGCTTAGTGTACTAGTTACCGATATTCCTCTGTAATTTGAGCAATCCAACTTATCTCCTTTTTTATGGATGGAAGAAATATAAGCTACTTTCCATAAACTGGGTGGTGTGACACCGTTTATATATTTGTTCATACACCAAGTAAGTGCTAGAAATAGTTTATCTGTGCCACATTTTATTAATTCTGCTGGAATATTTTCTGGGCCTGGAGCTCTACCATTTTTTAGTTCAGTTACAGCTTTCTTCAGCATATCAACTCCCACTACTATCTCTTCGCCGTCAACTGATACTTCCGTTGGTGATTGTGCGGTATATTCTGCTCTAGTTTCTGTTAGCAAACTCTCGTAGTGTTCTTTCCATTTTTCTGTTGGTATTAACTGGATAGAAGTAGTATTTCTTTCTGTGTTCTTTATTTTGTTTAAAAGTTTCCATGTCTCTGAACACTTTCTTCCGCCCATGTAAGTGTTGATCTCTTGGCATGTCCTATCCCACATTTCGTTTTTTGCTGTTATTACTGCTCTTCTTGTTGTTCTTCGTAAGTCCAAATACTTGTCTTTGTCTACTTGATGTTTAGTACTTAGCCACCGTGTGTACGCTTTCTTTTTCTCCATTACTAGGTTTTCTATGTCTTCGGTCCACCATAGCTTTTTACTGTGTCGTTCGGATTTTAAACCAAGCGCTTCTTTCGCAGCTTTTTGTATACTGTCTATTATATTTTTATATACTTCTTCCACGGATACATTTTGGATTATATCTTCTAATTTTTCATTTAGTCTTCGTTGATATAGTATTCTCGTACTTTCATGTTGTAAGCTGTCCAGATTGTACTTTGTCGTGTTATAAATTTCTGTATCTTCAGGTGGTTCTTTTGTTTTCTTGAATCTAAACGGAAAAACTATTTCGGACTTTACCATAAAGTGATCCGAGTCGCATGATACTCCTCTATATACTCTTGTATCTATTACGTGTAATGTTGTATTTTGTTTTGTAATGCACGTAATCTATGATCGATTTTAAATTTCTGGTTACCTGAATCCATGTATATTTGTGTATATCCTTGTGTTTAAAAAACCCATTTGTAATTTTTAGCTGATGGTTTTCGCATACTTGAATTAATCTTTCACCATTGTCATTTAGGGTTATTTCCCCATGTGGACCTACCACTTTGTTGTTTACCTTCTGTCCAACTCTACTATTTAGATCTCCTGCTATGATCACTTCTCTAGTACTTCCAATTTTAGTTATTTCGTCATTGATTTTCTCAAAAAATTCGTCTTTAACAACATAAGGTTGATCATCAGAGACTGCATATATTCCAAGAATAGTGACAGGTTTTTGGTTGATTGTCATGTTGATTCTTATGATATTTTCATCTACGGCTTCAAAATCTGTTATTTTGCGTTGATGTTTTTTATGTATCATTACGGATACACCTCTTTTTGCTCGCTGATGTTTCTCAACCCCGCTATATATATATATATGTATATAGTTCTTCAATATCTCTGTACCACAACCTTTCTTCTTTGTTTCAGTCAATATAATCATGTCCATGTTCAATTTAGTCATTTCTTGGATGACTTCTTCCACCTTTCCGCTAATGCTCTGTACATTCCATGTGCCAATGTTCATTGTCCATTTCCGTAGCTGTTGTCGTCGTCTTTTTGATCCGTCCGAAGTTCCGAGGCAACTTTTAGGCTTTTTGGTAAATGCGGTTTTTTTACAAGTGACAGGGAACCAGCCTGACGTCTCAACCCCCAACCTGGAGGACCAGGTAATTTTTGTTTAAGGTATTCTTCCTTTAGACTGGTTGTCTTTCAGGACTCTGGAGACCAGTCTTCCCCTTTAGGAATGTGTGTCTGGTTTGGACGTTCTGAATGCAGTTTGATAGGTTGCACGACATGTACATGCCCCGCTTCCCCCACGTCCAGACGGCCCTCGCCACTCACACACGGACAAAAGGACTCCAACTTCACGCGGGGTGAGTAGGAGATGGGTATCGGAGTTTTATCGTTGAAGGTTAGGTATCGAAAGGATTTCAGGAAAGAGGACAGCGGTATGCTGCTCCTATTAGTCGCCTTTTACGATCAAGTCAGGAGATACTGTGGGTGAATTCTACTTGAGTGTCCCGCATCCCACACGGGGTGTGGACACACAATCTTACTCAGCGAATTGCAAATACTTGGGCGAATACAACGAAACCACATAACAAGTAAAACATAGCGAAGTGTGGTGCCGCCATATGTTATAATTAAGATCAAGTATTTAGTGGAAAGGAAGTTATGAAATAACATAACCAGTACTTCTGTATTCCTAAGAGGATCAAACCTGAGATATAACAAGCAAATTTATTACAGGTACATTCTTTCCATTTTATGATATTATCATTATATGTTATGAAGTAAAAACAAATAAGAACACATAGATGTGGACTATTTTTAGGTTAGTTAGGTATACAGCTAACTGACACTATGACATTTTTCCATTTTTATCAGTCAATTTTCAGTCTATTCTATTTTTTTCTTCTTCTTTTATCTTCTTTGATCTAGTATGTTTATTTTTAACTTTGGTTTTGAAGTTCCTTCCTCGCTCCCAAAATAACTTTTACAAAAGCTCATCAGATATCTTCTTAACATTATTCCTTCACTTAAATGGTACATTACTTGTATCTCTTGCATGTAGTTGCTCTGTTAGTAATTTTAAATGTCTATTTACCATTATTCAGTATGTATGGTTCATGTAATCTGGTTGCAATGTGTACCCTCTCTGTTTCCTTAACACTAGAAGGACGGAGATGATCATTTTGACCAATTTGCTTTTTCAAAGTTTAATATCTTTTCAATTAGTTGAAGTTTTATTTTAAATTTATTTAAAAATTCTTGTTTTACGAGATAATATTACTAGAAGGACGACAAAGGGTCATTTTGACCCGAATCGATTTATGTAAGTTATTCCGCAAATACTTTTACGTGGGAATTTCGTAGAATGACAAGTGGTAATTTTTATCCGAATCGATTTATGTGGGTTATAAATTTCACTTTTACGTGGGAATTTCGTTCAATTGGCAATATAATTGTCGAAGAATATTATTTCTAGGATTTGTTTTCAAATTATTGTCGGTTTATAACTTTTGTGCAGTATTAGTGTAAAAGCCGTCGGTGACAGAATACTATTAGATTGATTTTTAAAAATGTGGTCAAATCTTACTCAGCAACAAGCTTTGGATTATTTAGCGGAACTAAAATCTTAAACTGAATCTGACGTTCAAGATGTTCTAGGAAATAATGAAGAGAATGCGGAATTTGAAGCAACTAATTTTGGCAGCGATAACAGTGACGATGAAAATTTTCAACCACCTTCGAGAAGCTCCAGTGATGAGAACACTTATAACTCCGATAATGAAGACTGTGATAATGAAGATCTTCAAAATCCTTCGACATCTATCATTTATGCAGAAACATCTGCTGATGGTACTGTGTGGGAAAAAACCAATCTGAACAATTCTCTGCGAGGCAGAACAGCTAAACGAAATGTTCTTAAGGACCCTTCTGGACCCACATCATAATAAAAACAAAAAATATTGTCGGATCTGTTTCAATTGCTTTTCACTTATTCATTGACGATTAAATTTTGAACCACATAAAACGGTGCACAGAAGTTGAAGCTTGTCGACAATTTCAAACTGAAGAGTGGAAAATTTCACTAAAGGAAATTGAAGTGTTTGTTGGGCTTTTGTATGCTCGTGGAATTTTAGGGTAAAACAGTTTTAGTCCGAAGAGCTTGAGGTCAACAAAGTGGGGACTTCCGATGTTTTCAGACAATGTCTGGGCATAGATTTTTACAAATAATGCGATTTATACGTTTTGACATTCGGTCAACCAGACGCCAAAGACTTCAGGGCAATAAATTTTGTCTAATTTCAGAAGTTTGAAAGCGATTTATTTCAAATTGTCAATCATGTTTTATACCTAACGCAAATATAACAATTGATGAACAACTTTTTCCAACAAAGGCGAGGTGCAGATTTGCACAATTCATGGCTAACAAATTATAAAATTTTATAATCAAACTAAATTTGGTGTCGATGTTGTGGATCAAATGGCAAAGAAGTACACGGTAGAAGCAAGTTCAAGACGGTGTCCGTTGCAAGTTTTTATAATGTACTGGATTTGGCTGCAATCAATGCCTGGTCTCTTTAAAAAGCTATAACGGACAAGAAAATTTCACGTCGCAATATATCTTGGATCTCGTAGAAGAACTAACTATGGGCCTAAACGAACAGAGCTTCATCGGAAAATCAAGAAAACTTAAAAAAATTAAAGGCAGATATCGAGCACAATTTTAATAATCAAATCTTGCCCAAGTACTTATCGCTTTCTACAGCATCATCAGGAGCATTTCGTCAAATTTACCCGAACGAAATGCCCATGATGATGCTGTAGGAAGCGAAAGTACTTGGGCAAGATTTGATTATTAAAATTGTGCTCGATATCTGCCTTTAATTTTTCAAAGTTCATTTCTTCGAGCATTCAACCTTATATCAAATCAAGAAGACGTATTGAGTACATCCAATTTTAGAGAAAAGAGAAAGAAAAAAGTGCAAAACATCATCTTATTATAGCAAAACCAGTGATTTAATGTAAAAAAAAATAATTTGTGGCAAGTGTTCAAGAACAGAAACAATTGTATGTAATCAATGCTTACAGTGCATGTAGATATAATTTTTATAAACAAAATGTTTATTATGAATCTATTATGTATTTTTTCAATAAATGTGTTTCTCAATAAATTTTTAGTTAATTGAAAAACTCCGAAAGCAAGAAATGGTCAAATTGACCACCGCCGTCCTTGCAGGTAGGGTGCTTCAGCCGTCCTTTTAGTATTAATCTCTTCTTTTCAATGAAATTTACTTGTTTATTATAAATATTAGAAATGTATTTAGTATTTTTTTAAATACTATAATCCAAAATATAAACTTTGTCGTACTCACCTCACAACCTTGAGATTTAAGCAGCTGAACTGCACAAGTTCCAACCCCTCCTGAAGCACCTAAAATTAGCACTCTTAATCCTTCCCTTTGTTTTGTAAGCATATTTCCGAAAACAAAGAGTGCACTCCAAGCTGTCATAGTTGTATATACTAATGATGCACTTTCTGCGTGATTTAAGTGTTTTGGTTTTGGTAAGATCTAAAAAATACAGTAATATTTTATAATGATAGTGCTTAAACTAATTAGGAAAAGCCTCCAGGTAAAAAAAAATAAATGACAACGCAAGACAAAATTACTCAAAATCAAAATTATTAAATATACCTATATAAACGTACAACTACTAGTCACACCATGAAAATCTGAGGGAGAGAGTAATTGATAGACGAATACATGATGAACCAGAAATATCGGATAATCAATTTGGATTTATAAAAGGCAGATATTTCTATTCTCCTCGTTGCAGATTTCTGTTATAAACTTTTCTCGGACGGCGTAGTTTACCTAGGTAAAGAACTATGCAAAATACCTTGTTTGGTTGGATTTTTGATGGTTCAGTTGACAGTAAATATCATCATGTAGGTGTATTAGTAACATCATACTCAGTTCTGATGTTACTAATACACCTACACCATTTTTTGTGATGCGGATCTTCTGTGCTGTTGCCGGAATAATATAATACACTTCCGTCCTTTTTACATGATCCTGACTCTGGCCATCTCATTTCGCCGATTCCCGGTAGGTCTATTTTCATTCTTTTCATTTCTTGAATTGCGTTGTCAAGTTTCCCAGCCGCAAATAGACTTCTAACATTCCACGTGCACATTGTAAAATTAGATTTCATTTTTCGGATTTCTTCGCGAGGTTTTCGCATGTTTACGACCTGAGAGGCCTCATGTATAAATATGTTTCTCCTCTCCTGCCGAATCTTGGCCTCCGCTTTCCATGATTAGTAACGGTTTGCAATTGCAGTGTCAATTCTATGGTGATTTTCCTGGGGGTGCTCTATGAGCTGTTAATGCAGTGGTTCCCCTTTGCCTTCTGCATTCTTATGCCATTGACCATTATTTGTTAATTCATCCGCCTTTGGGGCCGATTTCTCAACCCCAGGACAAAAGAATGCCCTACCACTCACCAACTCATCCGCCCTAAGCCGTTGGTCAATAAGTGGGAGATTGCTTATACCGGCAAACACTCGGACGTCAGAGCCTCATTTGTTATCTAGCAGGATGCATCGGATGACCATAATCAAGATCATCACGCGGGCAGGTGAGGTTAACATTTGGATAGGAAAGGCTATACGTTGTGCATCACTATCCCTTACATCCCTTACCTCTTCCTACTCAATATGTATTTCTTTGTTTGTCGTCACCTCTTGTGTTAGTGGTTCATTATCGTCACCTTTAGCAAATAGGAATCGAAAGTAGTCCTTCCATGTTTCCTTCTGAATGTGTTTCATTTTTATTAGTTCGTTAATCTCTTTTCTTTGTCCTCTGATCATTGTCCTTATTTATTTTGTGTTCCGTAGTAGTGGTGTTCCATCTGATTTTGGAAGCTCTGCCAGTGTTCTCTTTTTAATTGTCTAACTAAAGTATTCATTTCATTTCTGATTCGTTTATAGTGGTTGTATGCCTGTTGTGTTTTGTATTGTAAAAAGGATTTCTTTTTTTCTTCACATTTTGTCTTCACTTCCTCTCGAAATCATGGTGTTTTCTAAATTCCGGGTATCTAAATATTGTCGGATGTTAATATTATTTATAATCAATAGCCCTGTATAGCTACAATTGAGAAACCAAGATTTTTAAACGAGTATCAAATATAAGTGGTCAAATTTATGGAGGAATTCACACAGAAATGAGGTGGAAAATATGAACAAATGAAGAAATAGAAATTCTATATAACGATGTAATAATAAAATACTTTATCGAGTCGCGAATGGTCGGCTGATCTGGACACATAGAAAGAATGGTTAGTGAAAAAGTGACAAAATTATTCCTGTACAGAAAGCAAGTGAATAAATGGGAGACAAAGAACACAATTGAGTAATAATATGTTAATAGAAGAGTTAAAATTATACAGTAGAACTCCAATTATCCGAACTCCGACTATCCGAATCGCCGATTATCCGAATCACTTTCAGAAAAAATCAGAAAATTGTCCAAAGTCCGCGGCGTCAGTGTATGCACAACACGTGCTATGAGTCACGGCGCACCTGTCATTGTTTGTTCAGTTACATTAGTCAGTGTGCTATTAACCTTGCTCGAAAACGCTACTCTTTCGCTACGGCTTACGTTTGTATTGTTTTTTACCATGGCTTCGAAAAGAAAACGTGTTGTGCTATCGTTAGCGGACAAACTGAAAATTATAGAGCAACTCGATAAAGGTGTAACGGGTAAGAAGTTGTCTGAGATTTATGGTGTTGGACAAGCAACAATTTGTGACATTAAAAACAGTAAGTCAACACTTTTAAACTTTGTTTCGGTGCTTGAAAATGAAGATGGAAGTTCCTCCAGGAAAACAATGAAGACAGCAACCAACAAAAATTTGGAAGATGCCGTGTTTAAATGGTTTTTGCAGCAACGTTCTATGGGAAATCCGATTTCAGGCCCAATCCTTTGTGAAAAAGCCAAAATCTTAGCAGAAAAGCTTGGTTATTCATCTTTTAAGGCTAGTAACGGCTGGCTAAGGAACTTTAAATTCAGGCATGGTGTACGCGAGTTAGATTTGGCTGGTGAGAAGCTTTCAGCGGACTCTGCAGCTGCTGAAAGTTTTATTGAAAAATTTAAAACTGCAGCAGAATCCTATGATCCGGAGTTTGTTTATAATGCCGATGAAACTGGCCTTGTTTGGAAAGCATTACCAAAAACCACTTTGGCTTCTAAAAGGGAATCTAGTGCCCCTGGACATAAGGTCAGTAAAGAACGTGTTACAGTGCTTAACTGTGCCAACTCCACTGGAAATCATAAACTACCACTTCTTTTAATAGGAAAATCAAAAAATCCAAGAGCATTTAAAAACGTAAAAAAACTTCCACTCTTCTACAAAAGTCAACCCAAGGCCTGGATGACTGCAGCTTTGTTTACCGAATGGTATGATGAAGTGTTTATTCCTGAAGTGAAAAAGCACCAAAAATCGGTGGGAAAAGAAGGCAGTAAGGTGCTTTTAATTGTTGATAACGCACCCACTCATCCTACAGCAGAACTGTTGGAAAGAGAGAATGGGCAGTTTAAAATGACGTTTTTGCCTCCCAATGTTTGATGGGAAGCTCCCAAAACAATGAAGCGCCATTACAGAAGGCAACTGCTGAGAAAACTGCTGATCGAAGGTGCTGAAGATGAAGAATTGGTTTTGGCAAATCATAGCAAAATAAATTTAAAGGACTGCTGTTACATGGTAGCGGAAGCTTGGAGTTTGGTTACGGCAGTGACGCTAAGACGTGCGTGGAATAAACTGAAAGGCCTACCGTCTGAGAAGAACAAAAAAAAAGAAAATGAGAAACAAGAAAATGGAGAGGATGAAGATGATGAAGATGCGTTGCCACTAGAGGAAATGAGAAAAATGATTGTAAAAATTCCTGGTTGTACAGAAGTAAGTGCTGAAGATGTAGGAGAGTGGATGGCTTGTGACACGTCTGACCCTGGTTTTCAAATTCTCAATGACGATGAAATTGTTGAAAGTGTGAGAGAAGATGTTGAAGTGGAAGTGGAAGAAGAACTTTCTGCTGATGTTGAAGTAGACGCTGGACCATCAGCTAGTGAAGCATTTGCCGGCCTCGAGAGTGCTTTGAATTGGATGGAGCGTCAGCCCGAGTGTGACCACTTGCAACTGCTCACCGTCAAGCGAATGCGTGACCTGGCTGCCCGAAAACGGATGAAGAACGCAAAACAGCTTACATTGACGGAGATGTTTAAAAGACAATGATTTTTATTTCTAAACTTGTACGTATGTATGTATGTATGTACATATGTACATTTTACATATTTACATTTAAAACATGTGAAAATATCATGTTTCTTTCATTTTATTCAATTAAAAAATAGTGCAATATCAAAACGTAGCTTTTTTTCTCTCCAATGGCAATTTTTATTAAAAAACTCCGATTATCCGAATAATTTGATTATCCGAATAGGTCCCGGTCCCCATTAATTCGGATAATTGGAGTTCTACTGTATATAATATAAAACTGAAATAATGGTGCAAAAAATAAAAGAAAATGGAAAGAAGTAAAAACACGTAGGGAAGAGCTTTAAACATAACATCATATAAAAATAGCATAAAACGTTGTAATTATTAATTACAATTAAAAAACTTTATTTTTAGTTTTCTTTTATAATTATATAAGTATGTTGTTTTATAATTATCGTAATCTATATTACATTATTTAGAATTGTTTACTTTTTTGAGTTTTATTTTATAATTAGGTACTAGATTTTCAAAACCTGCTAAACTAAATAAATATTAGTGTTTAATCCTACAATTAAATAATTAATTAAATAATAAATTAAATCCATTTATATTCACGATACTTAATTGTAAATTGGAAGCAGTAATATAAAAAATAATGTATGTAAAGTAATACAGCCTATTCTTTTAATATCCAGATAACGCCCAAGGATTTTTTAATTTCAAAAAAATGTTAATACAATAATTTAAATAGTATTTAAGATTGCGAAAACATTGAAAAGATCTACCTAGTTACGTATGCAACATATTATGAGGTGATATATTTATAGATCACTATTTTCAATATCAAAATGCATTGGGCTAGCTCGCAATGTTATATTGAATCAAATTAATTCGGTGCACCTTAACTGGCTTCGGAGCCCTATAAAACCACTTTAATCTTACGCGAATTGGCTCCCAACCCCATACATGAATATGTACCCGCTTATTACAAAATTCTAAGAAATTGAATCTTCTTCTAAAACTTGGATTTTGAGGAAAACAGGTATAATATACACCAGAAATTAGAAATGTAGTCTTAAACAATTTATTTATTAGAGAAACTTAAATCTACAGACAGAAAAAGAGGTCTCAGCAAGAATAGCTGCGGGAAATAGAGCATTATACTCCCTTTCAACATTATTAAGATCGAAGCTGGTAAAAGAAAATCTAAATTAACACTGTATAAGTCGATTATTCGCCCAATTATTACATATGGCAGTGAAACATGGCTCGCAACCAGCGGGAAATCAATAAGCTTCTAGTATTTGAAAGAAAGGTTTATCCTTTTTATTGCCAAGGCAATAAAAAGGATAAAAAACAAAAAATCCCCTGGAGAAGATGGTATATCCCCTGAGCTGTTCAAGTATGGAGCATGCGCGCTAAAAAAATACATAATAAAGCTTGTTGCATCTATTTGAAGAGAAGGAAAACTCCCAGACAATTAGAATGTAGGTATTATAATACCTATTCAAAGAAAGGGGCTCCACTAATATATGACAACTACTGAGGTATTACCCTGTTAAATACGGCTTACAAAGTACTGTCTTATATACTTTATGATCGTTTACTAGTATATATTGAGGAAAAAATGGGCAAATACCATTGTGTATTCCGAAAAGAAAGGTCAACAATGGATCAGATATTCCTTCTCAGACAAACCTTAGAAAAGGCATATGAATATGGAATTGATACCCACCACCTCTTCATAGATTTTAAAAGCGCTTATGACAGTGTAGACAGAATCGCACTTTATAATGCCATCGCAGAACTAGATATTCCGTCGCATGTAATAACATTGGTAAAGGCAACTCTTTCAAAAGTTGAGTGCAAAGTCAAGGTACAAAACAGAGTGTCAAGATCTTTTCAAACACATAATGGATTACGCAAGGGAGACAGTCTATCGTGCCTATTAATTAACATCGCGCTAGAAAGAGCCATAGAGAAATCGGTCATAACAACCAGAGATACGTTCATCAATAGAAGTGTACAGATATTGGCCTACGCAGATGACATTGACATAGTAACATGGACAAAAAAAGACCTGATATGGGCTTTTGAAATATTAGAAAAAGCCGCGAAGACAATGGGACTGCAGTTCAACGTATCCAAAACAAAATACATGAAGGTCACGAACAGCACACAAATAGCGGCACCACAAGATCTGGTGACAGAAGCACACACATTCGAAGGGGTCTTTAAGTTAATATATCTTGGAACACAACTAAATAACAGCAACCTAGTAAGCGTAGAAATTAAGTGAAGAATATACCTGGCGAACAGAGATTACCTTGGACTAAGGAAGTTCTCTTAACATCACACATAATTAGCAGAAAACCCAAGATACTAATATATGAAACTCTTATTAAACCTGTCCTGACATATGCGTCAGAGACATGGACTACGGTAAAAAGCGACGAAGAACTGTTAGGCCGCTTTGAAAGAAGAATACTTAGGCACATATATGGAGGAGTACAAGAAAGATGTGGCGTGGGCGCTACAATTTTGAGTTGTATCAATGCTATCAAAAATGCAACATCGTCTTGTCTATTAAAATTGATAGACTAAGGTGGCTAGGACACCTTAAAAGAATGGACACTGGAGACCCCCCAAAGGCAGATATTATATCAAGAGCCAGTAGGAATCAGGAAGAGAGGCAAGCCAAGATCTAGATTTAAAACTCAAGTTGAAGATAACTTAAGGAATCTAGGGGTCAGAAATTGGAAAGCCAGGGCGAAAGATAGGGGGGAATGGAGAATAATTCTTGAACAGGCTAAGACTCACCCAGTGTTGTAGAGTCAAAGATGATAATGATAAGATAACTTAAGGAATCTAGGGTCAAAAATTGGAAAGCCAGGGCGAAAGATAGGGGGGAATGGAGAATAATTCTTGAACAGGCCAAGACCCACCCAGTGTTGTAGAGCCAAAGATGATGATGATAATAAAATATTGGTTTATGTTTATTATTTATTATTTTTATTTATTACAATCTGGTCAACTGACTAATAACCAATTCATTGTTAACTTCTACTAGTAGAACAATTAATTGAACAAAAATGTGAGTCTAAAGACACCACAGCAAAGATAAGTTTCAACAGAACAACTTCTAAGGAGATCAAAGTAAACAAAAGTGTGAAACAAGGTACTATATATCTATATATCTACTCTACCTCCCCAACAGTGTTTAACCTGATATTAGAAGCAATAATAAAGAGTACAAACTTTGTATCATAAACAAAAACATTACAGATCAACTTCAAGTAATAGCATATGCAGATGATCTAGTTATCATGGCGAAGACGAAGATGACACTTATAAGAGCAACTGAAAAATTAGATAAGAAAGCAAAGAAAATAGGGCTAGAAATAAACCAGCAAAAACAAAATGCATGATGATACGGAAGGACGATATAACAACTCAGAAATAGCTAATAACACAGAACCACAAATTTAAAACTGTATCCACCTTTATCTGCTTGTGAGTAACAATAGGGAAACTGGAAAAAGAGAGAAAAGGAAAAAATTCTAAAAGGCAAAAATATATGAAATGAATATAAACCTGTTGAGAAGCAAGACAAGTAAAAGAACAAAGATAAACCTATATAAGACCTTAAGATACTAATAGATTGAAAACCTAAAAAAATGCATATTTAAAAAAAATTCTCAGCTCCTTTATTAGATACAAACATGATTTTTTTTTAAAATATTATTGTATCTTTTTGTTAAATAAAAAAAATTTTACTATTTAAATGGGAATAAGCCACAATTAAAGGTTAAAGTAAGCTTATTGAAGTGTCAATTTCCACTTCGGAAAATCGTTCTTAAAATACAAACATTAGTAAATTAGCTTCAGAACAATATTAAAAGAAAATTTGTTTATAATTCCCATGACTAGCCCGTTTTCTAAAGGGCAACAAGTTTACACCTAAAAAAAGGTTTTCTAACAGAGGATACCAATTCTCAGGATTGATACATCTTAAACAAAAAATGGCTTCGTAATCTACGTGAATGGTTCGGGTGTAGTTCGATTGAACTTTTCAGGCGCGCTGCTAACAAAGTCGCAGTGGCTATGATGATATCTAATCTCCGCTAGGAGTGGCACGAGAAGAAGAAACAAAAAATTTAAACAGGATTACTTAAGAAAGCGCCCTACAAGCCAATCAACCATTGTAAATCGAAAATTAAAATCAAAAAACAAAATGGCCAACATTTGAAAAAATCTTTTTTACCAACTTTTGCATGTTAAAATTGATTTTTTGACTTCTTTTTTAAATCATTAATTGTATGTAAGGGTGCTTTCTTTAAGTAATCCTGTTCGAAATTTTTGTTTCAGATGTGCCAATTCTGAGAATTAGTGTCTGCCATAGATATCTTCTAAAGAAGTTAACTGAGGTGCCCTCTTGAAAATTCTCTAGCACCCTCCTTTTATCTCATGGAAAATTAAAAAAATCTGTTTAATTCAAAGATAAAATAATATTCAAACATGTTCGATTCTAATATTTCATGTTCGTATCTAATAAAGGAGCTGAGAAACTTTTTTTTTGAAAATATGAATTTTTTAGCTTTCTAATCTGTACTAGTAAGAACCTTAACCCTCCGTTACTCACTAGGAAAAACTGAGCATCAAGAGTCACTACAGTGTCTGAGACCGACAATTAAAAAAGTTTGTTTTTAATATAAAATGCATACAAATATTTTATATTGTTTATAGGAATAACTAAAAAAAATATTCTTGAAAATATTTTATTGAAAAAAAAAACAAGATACAAAATGAAAAACACTAGTATAACAATATATTGTGAATATTGTTCTGAAGCTATTTTCTTGTGACATTTTAAAGTAATTACTGTTTAAATGGGAATAAGCCACAATTAAAGGTTAAAGTAAGTTTATTGATGTTTTAATTTTCACATCGGATATCGTTCTCAAAATACAAACATTAGTTTGTATTACGTACTATATAATTTTCTTGTCTTGTTCTCACATTTTACAGTGGAATAGCCTTTTTTCATCTAGTAACGCTATATTTTCCAATAAACGCTATGGTATTACTTCCACTTTCTTTTTTCTCATCTGTCACATCTTGTTCCGATTCATCTCCACCATCACCACCTCAATTTGATCAATTTCGCTTTCACTTTCCTCATCGTCAAAATAATTTTCATCGTCAGTAGGAATCATGTCCATAATTCCAACAAGCGTTGGAATCAAAGTTGTTTGGCTTCAAAGAACATCTATAAATAAGAATTTACAAAAACTTACCGATAAAATGTAATAATAAGATGATAAATATTTACCTGTTCTGCAATAACTAATAGCTACACTGTTAGTCTTAAGCTACACTAGTAGCTACACTTAAGAAAGCTTAAATACTGAAATTTGAAAGGAAAATAATGAGAATGATATTGGGCCACAATATAATAAGAGAGGGAGAAAAAACGATGAAAACAAATGCTGAAATTGAAGAAGAATTAAAACGAGAAAATAAGTCAGATGCATAAAATCTATGGTACAGATGTAGAGGAAGGCCTAAAAGAAGATGGCTGGATGTGACGTAGAAGATTGTGTAAGAACAACGACAGTTAAAGACTGGAAAATTCACACAAGGACAGGAAGAAATGGTAAAGAGTAACTACAGCAGCTAGGACTCACAGCAAACTATAAATGACATAGAGGAATAATCTATCTCAACAAAGAATAGGATTTTGAACTCCATGGCATTAGCTATAATCCCTAGAGATTGTAAATATTAATGATAATGATACATGTTTAAATAGTTTAATTGAAAAAAATTAATTGTTTAATCAATCACCAAATTATCTATCATGTTAATATATATTTTTTTTTATTTAGAAAACAGTAATCTTTAATATGATATTCAGAAATATACTTAATCAAGTAACTTACATATGAGGAATCAGTTAGAACAGCTTCTGAAAATGCTCCAGGTTTATATAAAGGCACAAAACCATACACTTCATCACCAATTTTGAATTCATCAGATACACCTAGTCCTTTGGCTAAAATAGTACCCGAAAAATCCCTTCCTACTGTTAGAGGAAGTTCTAATTCACCCTTCCTCATAATTTGCAACAGAGTGTTACCATAACCACCTACAAGAAATTGTCAGAGAATTAGAATAAACTAACTGAAATATTAGGTGCTTTGAACAATATTTGAGTTTAAAGCACACTTTAGTTTAATTTTAAATATACATAAAAATATTCTTACCCATCATTAATATATCTATAGGATTAACCGAAGCACTGTGAACTTGAACTAAAACTTCTGTAGGGCTTTTAATAATAGGAAGCCGAGTTTCTCCAAGCTGTGCATTTTGTATACCACCATACTCATGAATAAGCCAGGCCTTCATTTTTAGTTTTTCAGTAAGAGCTTGTTTGTCATAGTTAATCCCAAAAGTTGAAAATACTCTTTTTAACATTCTGATCACTTGTAAACTTACAACTGTAGGAAATTTTATGTGTCCGCCTTTTTAATTTAATAAAATTTATTTACTTATGTAAATTACTCTTTTATTATTCATAGACTTGACTTAAAGATGACAAGGTTATTTTCAGATGTATATAATTCTTTAACTCCGGTAAAAAAAAACTGACATGAAAAATTATAATATGTGGTATGATCAATGAATATGCGTCTGTATTGGTTGGTATGATCTATTCTAATATTGGAAAAATTATAAGTACATTAGAATAAAAATTTGAGGTATGCACTGTATCATTAACCTGACACAAATCTTATATGTGTAAATGCTTGGCTAAATATAATTATAATAATATAAATGAATACTTTGCATATATGCGTCTATAATTCGTTGCGGTTTAATATTGATAATAATATCACAGTATAGACAACAAATAATATTGTCACATCACATGTCACAGTGTGGTTATGTTATGTTTATGTTATGCATATGATGACAGTTTAAAAGTTTATGCCATAGACACGGTTCCTAGACTTACTATCAATTATTATCTACGAACCGTGTGCCATAGATAAATAATATAATAGTAGAAAGTTTATGCGTTTATGGTTTAACCACAGAATAATAAAGTGATGATACTATGAATAACAAGATAGGATCTTCCCGTAGCCCAAAATCGGTCGTGTTCGCACATGCCGTCATTGGAGAGTAGAATTTGAATTCTTGTTAAAGTTAAATGGGATTTGTATGCATTTTGTGATGAAATTACTGGACAAAAATAAGTTAAGAAGTTCAATAATTACAATAATTATATAACGATATCTCCAAACTATTTATTAAAGATTATTTATTGACACATACAAAAAACTGACATTTCGAACGTGCAACTCTCCAATGACGTCACGACTTATGCGCAATATCTTATCTTGTTATCATAGTATCATGGTTTAAACCATGATACTATGAATAACAATATAGGATCTTCAAGTATTGTCTATTCGCTTAGCTAGGGCATATTTTGACAGACTTATTGTCGGAAACCTACAACACAACAATTCCTACTTCTCAGTATTAATAGCTCAAGTATACTACTATTGCAGACTTCTTTCTTTGAAAAAAAGAAGAATTATTCGAAATAGTGGAAGTGTATACTAAACCCATCAAAATTTTCCTGTATATTTAAAATATAAAATTTGAATTGTTACAATTTAAAATATTGTTAATATTGTTCTGAAGCTATTTTCTTGTGGCATTGTAAATTAATTACTATTTATAACTGGGAATAAGCCACAATTAAAGATAAAAATACGTTTATTAAAAATGTGGAACGCTTTTAATAAACGCATCCCTGCACAAGGATGACACGCAAAATCGTGAAGCGTTCCACATTTTTAATAAACGTATTTTTATCTTTAATTGTGGCTTATTCCCAGTTATAAATAGTAATTAAAATATTGTAGTAAATATTTGTATTATTCGCGTTGTTTATTTAATTTAATATAGCTTTATTGTTTTATTATCTTTGTTTAATTCTTTTGTTAGTTCTATTCAGTTAATTAGTTAGTTATATTTTAAATTTTATTATTGTTCTGAAGCTATTTTCTTGTGGCATTGTAAATTAATTACTATTTATAACTGGGAATAAGCCACATTAAAGATAAAAATACATTTATTGACGTTTCAATTTCCAATTCGGAAATCGTTCTCAAAATACAAATAGTAAATTAAACAAATTTTGTTTTTTGTTACATAGTGAAAAAATTCTTCTGATAATTTAATTTTATCTGACTCATTTATATTGACAATTCAGACATACATTATACATTTTAAAGTAGACGACTTTAAAATGATATTGCCAATATTGTTGAGTTGCGCTCCTGGGACGACTTTACTTATAAGATAGTTCATTCGATTACATGAAATCAACTTTAACTTGAGAATATCCGTCAGAAAAAATCATAGCATGTAATTCAATTGTGTCGCAAATTCCTCGGCAGAATGTAGTAGGATCTGGTTACCAATATTGAAAGAGGAAGTTATTAATAAGAAAATACCAGTATTAGTAAGTCAGTAACATATAGAGGATACATCATTTATGTTTTTTAAATAACGTAACATAAAATCAGAATTTTGATGTTTGTTGAAGGTAAACTAAATTCACGAACAAATACTTACAATGTCGGGATAGTATTATGAGGTTTTTTTCCTGGTTTTTCCCTCATAATTTACTATGGAATCACTAACAGGAGAATTTTACTGTCATCATGTCATGTGTTTGTCTTTTTAAAGACGAATTACATGCTATGATTTTTTCTGACGGATATTCTCAAGTTAAAGTTGATTTCATGTAATCGAATGAACTATCTTATAAGTAAAGTCGTCCCAGGAGCGCAACTCAACAATATTGGCAATATCATTTTAAAGTCGTCTACTTTAAAATGTATAATGTATGTCTGAATTGTCAATATAAATGAGTCAGATAAAATTAAATTATCAGAAGAATTTTTTCACTATGTAACAAAAAAACAAAATTTGTTTAATTTACTATTTGTATTTTGAGAACGATTTCCGAATTGGAAATTGAAACGTCAATAAATGTATTTTTATCTTTAATGTGGCTTATTCCCAGTTATAAATAGTAATTAAATTTTATTATTATGGACATTCAAAGTTTTCCATTTGTTCCATTAGCTAATGCGTTGGTAAGTTTTTCTTAATAAATATGATAAAATGTTTTTTAAAAGTTAATATTTTTAGATAAGTTGTTTCTAATTTAATATAAATGGTTTTTATAAAGTACTTACATGGAGGTTTTTGTTGTTTGTTTGGGTTTATATGACTGCAGGCAAAAATTACTATTGAACCACGAATTTGCCTAGTCAAATTACTAATATTTGCTTTTAGCATATGGAAGTACACTTATTTTGTAAGATAATAAAACAACAGTTTATGTTAATGCTATCCAATGAACTGTTAATCTTTAATCATTGATTCCATCCTAGTCACAACATAAGGAACTTGCTGTGTCTTATTTAACCTCACTTTGACTTTTTAATTTTGTAGAATTTATTCCCACTTTTTTTATTTTGTACAATAAATAATTTTATTATTTGTTATCAATACATTATACGGTGTAAATAAATAAATATTGATTGTCGGCAAAGTTCTATTTTATTTACATTAATATTGACTAAGAGCACGTATGCTTGGTTGTATAGTAATTTCCAGCCACTTCGAGTCTGTCAAAAAGTAACTAACTTCGCAAAAAAATAATTACTAAAATCACTAGACAGTTCGGACTGGGAATAGCGAACCGGGTATAGCACAAAATCGGTCGTGTTCGCGCATGCCGTCATTGGAGAGTAGAATTTGAATTCTTGTTCAAGTTAAATTGGATTTGTATGCATTCTGTGATTAAATTACTAAACGAAAATAAGTAAATAGGTTTAATAATTATAATAATCGTACACATAAGGATATCTAAAAACTATTTGATAGAAATTATTCATTGACACCAATGACGTATAATATAATCGAGTGTCCGAAAGATCTTCGCTCAAGGTTGAAGGTATGTTTACCAGAACAGCGGCGTGCTCATTTAAATGTTAATGACAATAATTATTTTTTTTAATTAAAATTAAATATTTATGATTTCTTTTTGTTCCCGTCTATAAGAGAAATAATTATTTTGATAAAATAGTATGGCATTTTACTAAAATACTAAGTAAATAACTCTCAACAATTTACAAAATGGAGAAAATGTTTTCATACGTCCATGATGTTTTCAAACACAAGATCAACTTCGTGATGCTTCGTAAGAAATCAAGAACTTCGTGCATCTTCGTATCAAAACATTAAACAATATCAAAGGTATTCATGTTGTGGACACTTTTTAAAGCGTTCACCGGGTCTAATTGATTGACACGTACAAAAAACTGACATTTCGAACGTGTAACTCAATGACGTATAATATATAGACTACGCAGTCCCCTATTCTCGCTATAGAATCAAGTGTCCGAAAGATCTCGGCTCAAGGTTGAAGGTATGTTTATCACAACAGCGGCGTGCTCATTTATATGTTAATGACAATAATTATTTTTTTAATTAAAATTAAATATTTATGATTTCTTTTTGTCAAGTCTATAAGAGAAATAATTATTTTGATAAAATAGTATGGCATTTTACTAAAATAGTAAGTAAATAACTCTCAACAATTTAAAATAAAATTTGCTTGTCACACAAAATGGAGAAAATGTTTTCATACGTCCATGATGTTTTAAACACAAGATCAACTTCGTGATGCTTCGTAAAAAATCATGAACTTCGTGCATCTTCGTATCAAAACAATAAACAATAACAAAGGTATTCATGTTTTGGACACTTTTTAAAGCGTTCACCGAGTCTATATATTATACGTCATTGGTGTAACTCTCCAATGACGTCACGACTTATGCGCAATATCTTATCTTCTTAGTCATAGTATCATCACAGAATAATAAACAATCAGAAGGGCCACTCTCAGATGCCGCCTTTGAAGTTTTTCAGCACGCGCGCCATGTTTTAGGAGGACACAGACATATGATTTGTGTGGTTATGTAATTGTTCATATTTATGTTTAATTATATTATATTTATGTTATTATATTTAACAATGTTAATATAATTGTATAGTATGTCTATGATTGACGTAAGTCAAATAAACCTTGTTAATTTTTCCATGCACGCCACATAAACAACACTAATTTCCTTAAAATCCTCCTAAAACATGGCGGAACGTCTGCGCGGAGGAGATGCGCGTACTTAATTTTCCGTGGAGAGTGGGTATTCTGTTTGTTTATTATTCTGTGGTATCATGGTTTAAACTTAAAGCATAGAAGAATAACTAGAGCAGAGAACATACGAACACAGAGAAGCGACACGAGGCCCGGAATTCGTGTATCTTTTCTGTATACGCATGACCCAAATAAGGTGCTTTACTGTCAAAAACACGTGCGTTTTCTTCAACTTTAGTCGCTTACGATAGTCCATAGGCATCTGTGGTAAACTCTCGACTATACAAGTACATTTGACCATTTATCTAATTTACTTAGTAGTTAAAAGTTTATAGTTTATAGTTATAGTTAAAATATATAAATATATAAGTTTATAGTTATAGTTTATAGTTAAAAGTTTAATTTATAAGTATTTAAAATGTCTTCTGGTTATTGTTGTGCGTTTCGCGGATGTTCATCTGTGACAGGAAAAGGAATAAGTTTATTTAGATTTCCTAAGAATAATAACAGGTAATTACTATTGCTTTGTAATTATCATTAATTATTACATAATAGTATTAATTTGACTTTGAGTAAGCCGACACCGACGTGTCCACCCGAGCTCTCGTTAAGTGAAGCAATCAGAATAAAAACCAGAGAACTACGAACACACATTAAATTTATTGTCTCCGAAGGCTCAGGTCAAAAAAATCAACACAGATGTTGGCCTACTGGTGTGAAAGCGCTCGCAGACAACAATAGGAATATAGTATATATAGGAATTTAGGAAATAAAAATATATAGAGGGTTTTATACACGAGAATATTTGATTTAAACAAAACAAAGAAATTCCTAAAATGCTCAAACTAAAAATTGTTGGAAACATCATTAGATCGAAAATTGGGAAAATCTTAAAATTACAACAGAACAAGACTTCAAAATAAAAACATGATTGCAAATAAACAAACTTACATTAACATAACTTCAAATATTTGCTGTCTTTTTCACCAAACAAACTTACATTAAATTATGAAAAAACTAAATGCTCATCTACTTTTTGCTATATACAAAAGTTGTCTGTCAATGTTTAATTAGCTAAATATAAATAACAAAGATCAAATATATGGATCGGAGTACACAACATATTTAGGGAATAAATATTTAAATGGGAATTACAAATAAAAAATATTAAAACTTTATTTATTGTATATCTCAATATATAATATATATATATATATATATATATATATATATATATAATATATATATATAATATATATATATATATATATATATATATATATATGGTTTTATATTCTGTCGTTTGCTTATTACCAAGACTTGCTTCCTTACAGTTCTCAACAACACTGTTAATTAATGTTTGCACAATCTTCTGGAGTAGAAGCTAGGAGTACTGTATCGTCCGCATATCGCAAATTATTTATGAAGTCACTGTTCATAATTATTCCTTCTTGTTTTTCAGAAAGTGCATTTCTGAACGTTCTTTTGAAGTAAACGGCGATGTGATTCCAAACCGTCTACTAAAACTTATGTTTCATTCCAATACAACTTTGCAATTATGCGAACGTCTCTGCCATCCAAACCAATGTTTCTTATAACTTTGATCAATATAGAGTACTTAATACGATCAAATGCCTTTCGGAAGTCAATAAAAATTAAAAAAATCATTGGCGTACAACAGTACGCCCAACGAAAATGTGTAATCTACCATTTTGTTGGCGGCCATTTTGGATTTTCTGTAATGAACTCTTTTCTACTAGTCGAACCCTTTCATTTGATACCCATATTGAAGTAGTTGTGAAAAAATAAGTAATCCGCTATTGTGTAGCGGCGTCCATCTTGGATATACAATGATACTGAATGTATGTAGTGTATGTATAGTCGATTCGCTAATCTCAGACACAACTATCTAGTATTTTAGTAATTATTTTATTGCGAAAGTTAGTTACATTTTAACAGACTAGAACTGGATGACAATTACTATATTTACAACCAAGCACATATGCCCATAGCCAATATTAAGAGTAAACAGACATAAATCTTACTCCAATCAATCATTATTTATTTACACCATAATATAATTCCACAATAGACAACGGAAGATTTGACCAATAATTTAAAGGTAAATGCTCCAAATATACATTTCTACTTCAAGAAGTTAAAGGTTACGGAGTACCAAGTTTCATATCCATTGGATTATAAAAATGAAGTTCTCAATCCCAGTATCTGGCCTGAAGGTTCAATGGTTCGTCGTTTTGACTTCAAGTATAAGAATTGTACTAACCGCAGTTAACAACAAAACCAGAAATAATTGTTACAAATCCGGCTTAGGCAAACTAGATACTACAAATAATTTTAAAGGCAATACCAATCAACTAAAAATCGTATGTATTAACTCTGAATCTATTGTAAACAAAATAAATTGTATCGAAATATTAGTTTAAACTGAAAGTCTGGATTTACTATGTATAGTAGTATACTCACCCAAAGAGAATTGGAATTTTTAGAGTTTGTGAAATTTCCGTGGCAGTTACAATGGCTTTGTTATTTTTCGATTATATTACGAAAGATAATTTATTAGGAAATTCCACGACAAACAAATTATATCTTGTATCAACACAAGCCAAAAAGAATCGGTGTATTATTGTATTATCAATGTCAACATCAGAATAAACAAAAAAGTATTTTCATCTATGGTTCCATCAATACGATTTTTACCATTACTTTGCGTTGTGCGATGTATTTGCAACCTTTTGTAAATCAAAAATAATTACACCATTTAGAATGTCAACAAAAGCCGCCCTGCATGTAATTATTTTTTCAGTGCAATATTTCATATTTACTGAAAGTCAACATAAATGCTCAATTTTATTTAAGAATTTATATTGTGTAATATGCCCACTGACTATTAAAAAATAAGGTGCTTTCCTGTCATTTTCACTCGTTGGCGGCTTGCCCACGCAAGATCAAAGGAGTGTCGCTTCTCTGCGTTCGTAGTTCTCTGACTAGAGCGCTACAATACAGTGGCGTTCCTCCAAACGGCAGGGAAAACTGACACAAAAGCAGTCCCAGTATCTCATTCTAATTTGCAAGTTTGCAGGAACGGGCTACGGCTGGTTGCTGGTATTGCAAAAATCAGCCTATCTTGTATATAATATGCATCGAGCAAAAAGACAAAAGATTGAATGTAAAGGTAGTGGGGCAAAAATATTGTTAGACAGGAAGTGCGATCTTTAGAGGCCACAGTAAACAAGGAAAGAGAGTCTCTCTCCTTGTTTGACATCAAATTTAGTTGGGTTATATTATTGTTTGTCCCAAATGTCACATGATATTCGTGATACTCCTCCATAGATCCCTACCGGACGGGCGTAACGCCTAAAAAACCGGATATATATATATATATATAATATATATATATATATATATATATATATATATATATATTATATATATTATATATATATATATTATATATATATATATAATATATATATATATATATATATATATATATACATATCAAAAAATACGACCGTTGATTAAGTTTAAAATATATTCAATAGTTGAATAGCAGAGGTTGTATCGGTCAATAATAGGCAAATGAAAGTCGTCAACTACTTCATTGATTTAATTGAATACGTTTCGCTTTTTGTTTTCAAAAGCATCATCAGTTCACTACAAATAAAAATAAAAAGATTTAAAATATAAGTAAATAACCAAAAGGGTTCATACTTACAAAAACAATTTGTAGGTTTTTTTTAAAGATGTTAAAAACACTCTACGATAACTTAACATTAAAAACTTAAAAACTAAACGATAGAATCGAAACAAAAAACACACAAAAAAACTGAAAGAGCACTATTGTTTATTTAATTTTTACCGATGGCTTCATCTCAATGTGGGTGTAAGCTCTTTCGAAGATCCAACACAATAATCTCTTGGATTGTTTTCTATCGGTTGTAGGCTGTCATATTTGCACATGTGGCTTGTGTGGTACATATGTTTTTTTGGAAAGCAGTGAGGTACAATTATTAAACAAGTTAGTAAACAGAACGGGACAGCCCTATTTTTCAAAAAGGAATATATTTTTTTTCCTCCCAATTTGTCTTTAAAAAACAAACAAACAAACAAACAAACAAAAAACAAAAAAAAATTTTAGAATAGGGAAAGAAGAAGGGGAATGAAGTTACTATCTTGTAAGTGTTTTTTTTTAAACTGATGATGAACTGATGATGCTTTTGAGAACAAAAAGCGAAACGTATTCAATTAAATCAATGAAGTAGTTGACGACTTTCATTTGCCTATTATTGACCGATACAACCTCTGCTATTCAACTATTGAATATATTTTAAATATATATATACATATATATATATATATATATATATATATATATATATATATATATATATATATATATATATATATATATATATATATATTTGAATTTCAGCGGTATATAGAAATAAACTAATTGGTATGATCATAATGTTTATTTAATTAGTTAAGAAGTAATTTTTACATCCTAATATTTTCCTTCCAGATTTAATTAATCACTTGTATTTTTAATAACAGCAAAGAATGAATAGGACGCTTTTACAATCTGAAACAAAATATCAAAAGCATTTTAGTTTTTATGTACAATGCATATGTCTTAAATATGTAATATAAATAAATATAAATGTAACAATCTTAAATGAAACGTCAAAATTTTATTAAAATATGCGTAAATACTTTTTCAAAGTATTTCGTCATGATTTTTCATTCTTTAAATAAATAATTTGCTTTTCACCGTCATAAAAAATTATACTACAATAACCATGCAGTCGCCGATGTGATGGTAAGCATCGACCACTACTATGAGAATTAAAATTACTACATACTGTAAGTCTTTAAGAACATTTGTTATTGTGTGTATGTGTGTTTTAGAGAGGTAGCAAAACACTTTTACATACCATTAGGACTAGATGTTATGCCTAGTATGTCGTATGTTACAATACCTGGTTAGTCTCACTGCGCTCAAATGATATACTGATGCGACCTTCGTTCGTGAGTCCTGGTTACCTACATCGGATATTAGCAGTAATAACGTTGTCGTCAGTACTGACGCTTTAGCACTAACTTGCTGCCTGAAACTTAGTCGCATATCAATAATCACTTCAAGTACCGAAGAAATGGCTATGATGTGATTCCATGTTCTCCAATGCTCAGCGTTTCGATTTTCACCTGTGTCTCATTAGCAATGAGCACTGCCTCAGTTTTGTCTCCGCTAGGCCACGATCTTAGCATCCCTTGGCAATTCTAGCTTTAGTAACCCGTTAAACATGATATTTGACAAAAGATCGCCAAGCACAGAGCCCTGTGGTACTTTACCACAGTTTGGACCGGACTTTGTGTTATTCTTCAAAAGTTGATCAGTGAATTAGCTATAGTTATAGCAACCATCCTCCTTAGATATGCCGGTACATTCTGGTGAGAGCTCGAATAATGTAGTCCCAGTTGGTGGAGTTGAGTATCTGTATATATGGTAATGAATAATAGTGAATGATACATACCGCTACAAATGTTGGTAGAGTAAGTGGTGCAAATTTTCCCGCCGTCAAATAGAGCGGTCTTTTGGCCCTGGCCATGCTAAGGATCATAGACATTTTAAATTCTTTATCTGCAGTTAACCAATCACATTGCCAGATATAAAAGGGCATTTTGTCAGCCTGAAAAATAAACCTCAAGAAATTTTAAAATTAATATATATTTCTTATTACCTTTAGTGTCACTTCATTACCAAACCAACAATATAATGCTAGCTGAAAACCCATGGCAATCATATATACGATTTCTGCTAAAAACTGTTTACTCCCAAAAGGCGTCTACAAAAGTAAAACAAAAAAGTTTTTAAGACGAAATGCATGAAATAGTTACTGTTAACGTAAGTGCCATTATTATTTTCCGCATAATAGAACGTTATACCCAGAGATAGACGAGTATTGGCAAATAATATCCCAATTTTGATGAAACTATATATATATATATATATATATATTATATATATATATATATATATATAATATATATATATATATATATATATATATATATATATATATATATATATATATCGATGGCTTAGTGTGAATACCTCGTATCTCATTTTTTTTCGAAAATGACATTTTGATCCTTTTCGTTCGAAAACCACGTATCTCACGATTTACAGTTATTATAAAAAATCCAAGTACTCCCGGGTACCCCCTACAGTCGAAAAAAGAAACCACGTATATCAGTAGCTCTCTTGATTTAGTGTGAAGACCACGTATATAACCAAAAATTTGTCACTTAATTTGAAGTGTTTGTTTTAAGAGTTTCGACTTGGAGAAGTGTTTTTTGTGAACAACGAATTGTAGTCAGGCAAGTAAAAACATTTTATTAACCTTAAATTAAAAGATTTGTACTGTATTAACATAGTATTTGGAGGCGTGCACTAGGCTATCAAAAATGAAAACCTCGTAAATAATCATAAACACAACCTCACTCTATATGAAAAACATGTATATCAAAATATACTAGTTTATCATAGCTACTTGGGCAAAGTCCCTATTAATACAAGGATACTTACAAGTTTTTCATAGTTAATATTTGTATCTCTATTTTAGTAGGAACATTTAACGTTCATAAAATGCATTAATTTATAGCCTAGTTTCAGCAGTAATAAGATATAAAAGTATATTACTTGTTATAAGAAAAATATGTACCTTCTAACCTAATATTTGGGTCTTACAGGTAATAATGTCAAGAGAAAGCGTAATGTTAGACCTTGCCCTTAAAGGAAAAACAGTTGACGCAGATCGTGTTCGTAGTGGTTTTAAATCCATTCCAGTTACCAGAAACTTTACTCAAGGTAAGTTATAAACTAATAGACCTGTTACTAAGCCTAAGCTTGTTTTAGATCTGAAAGTATGCATTAAGGTACCTAATTTAGATGTTTTAAGTTGTATTGCCGCAAGAGACAAAAATTAGAAACTTAAAACCCGTTAAGTAAACTATTTATTTTTATTTTTTTCAGGTGACGAAGATTTAAGCGTTCAATTGGTCAACGACAATGATAATCCGACAACAATTACAGTATCACAGTGTGCAGTCAACCCGGCTATTGTCACTTCAGGTAAAATTAGATTGTACAAGTTTAAATAAAGAGTTTACAAAATATTAAGCTTTGTAAAAATGCGAGAAACGTGTACGATTTTATTATAAAAAACTATAATAAGACTATTTTGCTACACCTTAACTGATTATACTCCTTAGGTAAAGTATTTTTAATTGTTTCAGATGAAGAAGGTCAATTGCTGAATCTGTATACTACAGAATGTGAATCCACGCCACATGTTGGCGTGGATTGTGGCACTTCAAATGCAAACTATTTTCAGGAAAACAGGTCTGAAGCTGAATACCATAATCAAGAGGGCATATTAATACAGTTTAAAGGATGTGACGAAAAAGACATTCACGCAGTATCAATAAATGATATTACACTGAGCAATAACAATGAAACAAAAGACATTACTTTTGACGTTGATTACTTGTTTGGTGATAATAGTGAACCTAACGCTAGAAGTGAGTCTGCAAATATTACAATGGAATTGGATATCTCAAATTATATTGAAATTGAAACCATCGACCAGACTTTAGGGAACGAAACTTTGGAAAGTGACACTGAGTATGTTCCCTTAGTGCAAAATAGTTCTACCAATTGTGACGTAGAACCCACAGAAAATGAAACTAATGAGTCAAGGAAGAGAAGTCGAAGTGATCGAGGAAAAGCCAAAAAAGATACATGGTTTCAGCAGAAAAACAAAATTAAAAGGCTACAGGGGGAAGAATACTTTGGCAGGAGGAAAACTAAAGCAGGAAAAATTGTTTTCGATGTTAAGAAAGGAAGGAAAGAAATGAAACCACGTTGTACCTGTAGAGCCAACTGTAAGTCTAAAACAGCATTTCAATGTGCCACTGTTTCTGAAGAAGCTAGAAAACAGTACTGATCAGTTTTGGTCCTTATCATGGGGAGAAAGAAAATTCTTTGTGCAAAGTTTAGTTATGAAAAAATCTGTGGCTCAAAGAAGAGGGGATAAAGATACAACTAGGAGAAATCAGTCGTTATTTTATCATCTGGTTACTCCTCAAAAGCTACAAAAAGTAAGAGTTTGTAAGAAAATGTTTCTCAACACTTTGTCTGTTGGAGAATGGTCAGTTTTAAACTGGGTGGGTAAAATCCAGAAAAGCCAAGACCAAGTTGAAAATTCTAATGAAGAGGAACTATTTGAGGAACAGCAAGAATCGATCGATACAAGGACGAGTGCAGCTAATAAGGCTAAAAAAGATTTATTAAAGTCCTTTTTTGAATCTTTACCGAAGCTTGAGTCTCATTACTGCCGAAAAGATACCAAAAAGATGTATTTAGAACCAAAGTGGCAATCAAAGGCACACTTGTATCGGTTGTACCAAGAATACTGCGAGTCTCAAAATAAAACTAACTTTTTATCGTCGATATGTTTATTTTACGAAGTATTTAATGATTGCAACCTGAGCTTATTTCAACCCAAAAAAGATCAGTGCGACATTTGTTGCTCATTCAAAGTAGGAAATTTTAGCGAAGATGACTATAATGCTCACATTGAACAAAAGAAACAAGCTAGGCAAGAAAAAGACAAAGATCATGCGAACTCTACCAACAGCAAAACTGCTGTATTTACAATGGACCTACAAGCAGTTTTGCTTAGTCCATACTTAAATGCTTCTGCGTTGTACTATCGCACAAAGCTCAAGGTCCACAATTTCACCATTTTCAATCTTACTAATCTGGATGGACACTGCTATTTGTGGGATGAGTGTGAAGGCGGTCTAAATGCAGATGAGTTTGCAACCATCATCTACAATTTCATAACAACTGAAATTGATAGAAGTGCCTACGATCATGTAATCTTTTACAGTGATGGCTGTACATACCAGAACCGGAACTGTATATTGGCTAATGCCCTTCTGCTCGCTTCTCATAAAACCGGCATAACCATCACTCAAAAATTCTTGGTCAAGGGACACACTCAAATGGAATGCGATTCCATGCATGCAACTATCGAACGGAAGCTTAAAAATAGGGAAATTTACTCTCCTTCAAGCTACGAAGAAGCTTGCAAATCAGCCAGACTAAATCCTAAACCATACCAAGTACGATACATCTACCATGACTTCTTTAAAGATATAGCAGCCTCAAATTCATCGAATCAATCAGACCAGGATTAAAAAAAGGAGACCCCGTTGCTACAGATCTCCGATGCATCGAATATAAATCAGATTGGTCGGTGCAAGTGAAATTAGGATTTGAAGATAATTTTACTGATCTTCCGAGAAGGGTACGAAAACCCGACGGTGAAGTAGTTGTTCCCTCTCTCTACAAAGCCCGGATTCCTTTAGAAGCAAATAAGTTCAAACATCTTCAGGAAATGAAATCGGTAATACCTAGAGATGTTCATCTCTTCTATGACACACTACCTCATAAGTCCTTAGGAAAACTGTGTAGGCCTAAAAGAAATAATAAGTGCTCCTGTATTCTTGGGGTAAGAGTGGACTAAACAAAGTACTTAAGAACTAAAGGGTTGCGTCTAAAGAGCTAAAAGAGTGGGACAATTTTTAAGATTTCCAAAATCAATGATTTCAGTGTTTCAATTATTTCATGGCTTAATGTTAATTTTGTAACTACATGTATGTCATTAAACTAAATAGCTAACGTATTTTTATTGTTTTAATATAACCCTTTTAATATTGAAAACCACGTAAAACAGAATTACATGAATCAACTAATATGAAAAACTCGTATACATTAAATATTTAATGTGAAAACCAAGTATATCTGGAACTTAAGAATGAATACCTCGTAAGTCAGGTAAAAAATTAAGCAATAATAATATATATTAAAATTTTATGTATAACAATCTAAATGTGCTCAAATTAAAAATATGTAAAGATAGTTTTTTGTTTTTAGGTTAGAGTATGCAGAAATTCAGTTTTTTGTCTCTCCTGTAAAATTGTGATTTAATGACATACGAGGTTTTCACACTAAGCCATCGATATATATATATATATATATATCCGGTTTTTTTAGGCGTTACGCCCGTCCGGTAGGGATCTATGGAGGAGTATCACCGAGCCGCAAGCCCTTATCTCTTGCCGTACTGCTCCACCATAGGCCGATCAGATCCCAGCATATCCTAGTCTAAGCCGCAGATTCATCTAGAATTTTAAACTGCTGCGTTAGACTTTTTGTTTTCTGTACACTGAGCTGGGGCTCGATCCCACATCCACTGAACCATTCGACAGTGAAGCGAATGAGAGGCAGCCGCACAGCCCGCTGAGCTATCTGACCGACTGATGAAACTGATGAAACTATCAGGAAACAAAAATAATTTTATTGTTATAATCGACGTTTTTTAATTAATTAAAAGCAGTTTGTATCTGCAACTCGGTTTTTCGCATATGAAAAACATGATAACTTACACTTAATTCAAATTAATTAAATTGGTAATAACGTTATTTGTATGACGTTATTAACTTTTAAAATTGTAACGGGATATTCCCGGTGCTTGGCTGTATACCATACTTTAAAAAAACTCAATACATTCATAACCACTTAAAAATGAAAACAAAAGGGAAAATTTTGACTATTAAATTAAAGATGTGGTTAATACTTACGTATAAAAAGTAGTTGGGACTAGCCATATAATGAGGTCAGATGACCATTAAAATATATAATTTGAGTCACGAACATTATAATTCTTAACAGGTTGACTGTCAGCCTCTTTTTCCTTGCATTGTCAAAGAGTCATTTGAGTACCACATATAGTACTCAGTCCAGAAGATCAAATATTGGACGCATATATGGTACTCGGTATAACTTAAAAAACTGCATGCCGTGTACCTAAGCAGTCACTTGGCTTGTACATTTTATGGAGAAATTAAAATTTTGGCCTCAGAAAACCCTTCCATGATTTTGGCCCGTAGCTAGATGTTATTATACTTTATTTATAAAGGTCGTTTATCAAAGTGTAATAAAAACGCTTTTTTAGCTTAAATATTTAACAAGTAGTGTAACGCTAAAAACGGTATAAAAAAATAGTGGACAACTTAACAGCTAATGAAACTTAAATGCTAATGAAAAAAATTACTGTAGTTTGGCAGCATACACCTTAAAAACGTAGTCAGAACACAAATATTTCGCGCAAGCAAAACACTTTGTCCACACACATGGAGTCTCCTTTTGTGCTGTTATGTCTTCCATTTTTCAGACATTTTACTAAATTGTGTAAATTATTAGCAGGCATTTCAAAGTTGCATTTAATAAGCATATCTTTGATAATTTTCTCTCTAAATTGTGTTATTTTTATTGATTTATTTTTCACTTTAGAATAAAGTGACAAGGCATTTACAACGGCAACATTTAGTCAAATAGCAAAGGCAACTTTTCGGTACCATTTCAATGACCACCTTGAAAATGAATTATACGAATTCATTTGATCCGTTACATCTATGAATGATTTTCCTGCATTATATTCTACTACAACCTGCGGTTTAAGTTTGTCTTCTCTTCTTTGTATCACATTTACCATAGAAGGCATATGCTACGAACTTATAGCAAGCATATCAAGCCTATCCTTCCACTTTAAAACCATTACACCATTATCATTTTCCTTGCAACAATATCAGCTTTTTTTTTATTTTGGTAACATCTATTTAATTGCGTTTCCTATTGGCTCGAAGTTTCCTACTAAAAAGGTTTGCCTATCCAGTAATTTTTCTGCCAAAGTGACACTATTATACCAGTTGTCAGCATATAGTGTTCTACCAAAATCTAAATATGGCTCCATTAATTCCATAACCACTTTCGAGTATATAGATATACCAGGCTAAGCTTCCTTTCCAACATAAACTTTATATTGCAAAGTGTAAAAAGGGTCGGTGCACAACTTAAAATTTTTAACCCCATACCAATCCTTTTTGTTTTGCAGGTACTGCCTAAAACTTGAGCTACCTTGGAATGGTACCATCAACTCATCTATACACAGTGACATTTCGGGAATTACAGATTAAACTTATCCACTAGTAAGTCAATAAGGGGCTGAACCTTGTGAAGCCAATCTCCGGGAATCTGTGTTGAGTTATCCGAAATAGGAAACATGCTGAAAATAAATAAATATTTTCGTAATTAAAACCTAATATAAAATCTTGTAATACTACCTCAAAATCAACCCAAATCTGTTTGTGACCATGTAGTCTGCCAGTTTGCTATTATATAACTGTGTGTTTTTCCAATAATAAACCAGAGAAGGCAAATTTACTAAACCCATCCACATAAGTATGTCTAAAAAGGTATGCATTACTTGTCGATTTGTCAGTACCCAGCTTTTAATTCTTGCACTTCTCTTTATATTAGGTCCTCCAAAACATTGTTGAGCATGATTGTTTGTTTGATTTACTAACAGGGATACCACTTCTTCATCAAAAAACAAACAAAAGGAATCAAAAGGGCTGGCATCTTGCATTGTATCTATTAGATAAGGGTTTACGCCTACTTCTTTGGAATTCGAATTATAATTTATATTTTTAATCCTTTGCGGATCAGGTATTTGCGAATCTTTACTTCATTTTCACTAATTTCATTACTATCCGAATCTTCACTATCTAGTGCATACTCTGGCTCCACTGGGTCACTGTCATGAAACTCCGAAATAGACGATGATCCGCTTCGTACTCATACAGTCTCAAACAAATGCGGTAATCTCTTCTTTTCTTTGGAATCCATTATTACAATTTACAATCGCGACTGTATCAGAAAACAACAAAAAACCAAAAGATCAATTAAACTACCTGTTACAGATTGCAAAAAGCTTTTTCTATATTTGTCACTACTAATAGGATAGACATCTATCGTTAGCAACCCCTAATATTAGCCATTTTAGTTTACAGAAATGTGCACATTGTGCACGTCGATAAATATTAGAAGACAGTATTTTATTGTGAGTGCCAGAGGTGGCCTTCATGGCCCCCTGAAAAAAACATCACTCGTGCGGTCGTGAGCACCAAGATAGGTACTCAGGGTCAAAATGATATGAAATACTTAAAAAGATATTAATTAACCACCAAAAGATTCTTACAAAAGCCTAAATTAAAATAATAAATAAAAATCGTCGTGGCCTCATGCATCAACATGCTCTAGAAGAGCTGTAACATAAATTGCAAGTTAACTGAGTACCACATGTGGTACTCATGGCAGTCAACCTGTTAAGATAATAGGTCGATAATAAAGGATAACATTTTTAATGAATTTTTTTTATTCTTTAAAATACTTTGCCCACCGGGTGAAATATTTCAAGAAGGATCAATTTAATTGATAAATGACAGTTCCTCAAGACAGTGGATAGTGGATTTTTGGCAAGCTCTTGAAAAACAACCTATAGGCACAGAATAAATAACAATCAGAATGCCCACTCTCAGATGCCGTCTTTGAAGTTTGTGAGCACGCTATCGCCATATTTTAAACGGAAACACAGACGCGGATTGAGAAATTTTTGACAAACTACGACAGAACCATAATTGAAATTTTTAGAGATCGATTATTTAGAAAATTTGAAATAATTTAATAACTAAATGTCAACTAAAAGTACGACATAAAATATTGCACATTATGTCTATGGTTGCCGTAAATCAATTAAAGCGGGTTAATTTTTCTATGCACACCAGAAAATTTTCACTGAACAGCACTGGTTCCGTTTAAAACATGGCTGATTCCGTCTGCGCAAACGAGATGCGCGTACTTCTCTTGACAAGCAGAGTGGGCATTCTGATTGTTTTTATTCTTTTTTATTAATTTATTCTATAATATAGGTAATCTGTCTAAAAATGTAGTTATTTCATGATCTTACATTTGAGCAATGACTTATCGAGGTAAGTAGTTAATAATGGTGTGTGATGATAAGTTAGTAGGGAAAATATATTAAATGTTAAAAATAATTATGTCTACGTGACAATAATGGAGGTAGGAAAAAATATAAGGTGATAGAATATATGTAAAAACCCCACTATAAATAATATTTTACTTGATTTTACTTTTTATTTATTGTAAAGTTGGTTGCCTATGTAAAGTAATGTTAATTAAAGTGTGCAAATTATGCACAAATGTAAGAAGATAGAATAAACTGGGGGCAAAATGTAGGAGTATGGTTGACGAAAGTTGAAATAATTTTTTTAAATGCCATTCAATAATACTTACCATTGATACTAAATATAAACAAGAACAAAGAATAAATAACGTCGCTGTAGCTTGTGCAAGGGTTAAATATTTATGAATATCTTCTAGGTCCTCGCAAACTCTAAAAAAATCCAGATATATACTTTATAAGTCGTATAAAACATTCTTACTTATAAACAACTTGTAAATGCTGCGATATCTTCTTCATTTCCGCTCTTAAAGTAACAGTTAGTTCTTCGGTGTTGTATAGCCCGTCCGTCGTTAACAATGGACCGTCTGTTTTTTTCTCCGCTCTTGGAAGAATGGAAAGGAATGCGCCTTGGATAATCTCAAGATTCATTCCCACGCAGTTCATTATATTCATGAATAATGTGTCCATTCCAACAATGCTAAAAGTATTTTAACATATTAAAAAGACATCGACATGAACAATCGTCCCAACAAATAAAATACATAGGTACAAGTGAACAATTTATGTTCCAAAATACAATTTCCGGTTTTTATCGTTAAAACTTGTATAAGTATACATATATAATGTACCTACCTATAAGCATACGAAAACATAGGTATAGCCTGATATCCAAGGGCTATTAAATAGGTACCAGCTGTATCAAATCTAAAAGGCATCCAGCTATAATATGGAAGCCTGTCAGGCAGCATTCTTTCTGGATTGTTTTCTTCAGAGCGTAGGGTAGCAAGAAAGGGTGGTAGGTACGATGATGTCAGAGTTGCGTGAGCCATCATAAAAAATATGATAGTGTACTTTTTTCCAATCTTTTTGTATAGTTTAGAAGTAACTTCAGGATAAAAATCTTTTTCTGGACAATTTTCATAATGAAGTTTTGTATCCTCTAAAGTGTTCATAATTCGTTTTAATTTATGACCTTGAAAGTAGAAAAATACTACCTAAAAAATAAAACGTTCATTATAAATAGGTATAAATATATTCTACTAAGCTGTTTTATATAGTCTTTATCGCATATGCAAATTATACAAGTAGACAAAACTTCAGTTAGATGAAAAACAGGTGGTAACATTCGTACCACTCTCTCAGGTTGCGCAACCATGACATTCTACGCCTCCCTATGCTTCTCTTTCCTTGGATCTTTCCCAAAATTCAAACGTTTAATTAATCTAAATACAGCACACTACGATATTTGTTTATCAAATGTGTTTCTCTTTATTATTAAAACTTCTCATCTATCCAGGCTAATAAGATTTCGCAGAGTTGAGTGTGATCTCTGCATATAGCCCGATGCTTCTGGTTTTTTCTCGTGTTCTAGATAACGTTTGTAATGTGAAAGTTTAAATTCAGTATTGTTCTGAAGCTGTTCTTGTGGCATTGTAAATTAATTACTATTTATAACTGGGAATAAGCCACAATTAAAGATAAAAATACGTTTATTGACGTTTCAATTTCCAATTCGGAAATCGTTCTCAAAATACAAACAGTAAATTAAACAAATTTTGTTTTTTGTTACATAGTGAAAAAATTCTTCTAATAATTTAATTTTATCTGACTCATTTATATTGACAATTCAGACATACATTATGCATTTTAAAGTAGACGACTTTAAAATGAGATTGTCAATATTGTTGAGTTGCGCTCCTGGTACGACTTTACTTATAAGATAGTTCATTCGATTACATGAAATCAACTTTAACTTGAGAATATCCGTCAGAAAATTTTCCCTCATAATTTACTATGGAATCACTAACAGGAGAATTTTACTGTCATCATGTCATGTGTTTGTCTTTTTAAAGACGAATTACATGGTATGATTTTTTCTGACGGATATTCTCAAGTTAAAGTTGATTTCATGTAATCGAATGAACTATCTTATAAGTAAAGTCGTCCCAGGAGCGCAACTCAACAATATTGACAATATCATTTTAAAGTCGTCTACTTTAAAATGCATAATGTATGTCTGAATTGTCAATATAAATGAGTCAGATAAAATTAAATTATTAGAAGAATTTTTTCACTATGTAACAAAAAACAAAATTTGTTTAATTTACTGTTTGTATTTTGAGAACGATTTCCGAATTGGAAATTGAAACGTCAATAAACGTATTTTTATCTTTAATTGTGGCTTATTCCCAGTTATAAATAGTAATTAATTTAAATTCAGTGTTTTGTAGGCATATATTAAATGCCTCTCATTTGTTGCCAAAACTCAAAAACCGAAATTACATACTATAGGTTTTGAAGATTAGGCTTATTAGAAGATTGACCGGTCAATAAAAGTGATAAATGTTATTGATCTCATGATAAATCATAAACAAATAGAAAAAATCTCGTCACGTTTATTTATTTAACACCTTAATAAAAAACTTACTATATTTGCGGCAAAATACAAAACTGACATAGGGAAGCGACAGTCTTTATCTTTAAAATACAGGTTTAATTTTTGTCGCCAGAGCACTCTAAACAAAAGATATCGAATTTTAACTATCAAGTTGATGCAATTTTATTTAAAATTCATTTCGCGCGGGTAACTGACATTAAAAATCACTGCTCGCGTCAAGCGTTATTTCGGGGAACGGTTAATTTTCCTGATCTTTCCATTGCTTCTTGCAATCGCAATTGCAATCTTGCGCCAACCTAATCCACTGTTTGCCTGCCGCTCCTCCCATGTTTCATCTTATGGACTCATCTCTTTTGAAATTTCCCACGCTTTATGTCGTCCTCCTTGGTATCCATCGGTTTTGTTTCGAAATAAAGCATGCTTCGTTCCACTGTCCTTTGCTTCGTTTCTAGCTTTTTAGCTGATTTCCATATAAGCATCAACCTGTAGGTACAAACTGGTAATATGCATGTATTATACACCTTTTTCTGTAAGTTTTATAGGAATTCAAGTGTTTTTCAAGATATATGCTAGTTTACCGAAAGCGGTGTTTTCTTTTAATTTCAATATCTTGATTTGGTTTTTCCAGTTTTATGACACGGCCCAGGTATCTATAAATCTCAAATTCAACATGGTTTAAATATGATCTGTCAATGTTTATACCCTTGTTCCATTCTAATTTCTTAAAAATGTTCACTCCCTGTTGTAGTTTTATGGGATTCGTGTTTGTGCTTTCGTCCAGCTTTACTTGCATGATAGCATTTTTATATATGCGTTTTTAATGTTAATGAATATTGAATCTATACGTGCGTTTTCTAGAGATTCTAACAGAGTCACTAATGCGATCGAGTCGAATGCTGTTTGAAAATCCACAAACGCCATATGAGTTGGAACGTTATACTAGGTATATTTTTCTATTAGTGTTCTTACGGTGTGCCAGTGGTCTGTGGTACTAAAATGTTTTCTGAATCCAATCTAGTAGATAGGTTGGTAGAAGTCGAGCGTATTTGTTAGTGGATTGGTTATGTTTTTGGTTAGTAATTTATACAAATAGTAATAGACTACAAGCTCATGGGACATTTTGACTGGGTCAATTGACCCAACCTGAATCACATATAAATCAATACTACAATATGTAATAACAACTTTGGAAACTATGCCGCCAATTCTTATTGGTACACAAAGCATGGTGGTTTTAAACTAAGGGTTGCGCCTTTAATTCCTGACCTCTAGCCCAGCCAAAATGTGCGGCGTTGCAAAAAAAATCTATATACCGATTCGAAACTTTGTGTATGAAAATATTTTCCCTGCTTTACCACCCCTCTCCCTTGAGTGATAAGTTTATCATACCTGTGACTCACTTTTACCGATAAGAATTGACCTACTTTCTATTGGCATAGTTTCTAAAGTTGTTATGACATAATTGTAGTGTAATGATGAAGGAAATATGTGTTTTTGGCTTTGCAGTGGCATGGCATTTGTCTGTGATTAATACATTCTGTATGAAGACTAAAGACCAGTATATTATCTATAGTAACGGGAGAAGACACATTCAGATATATTTTCAGCTGTGTACAAGAAGCTAGCTAAAAGAGGTTATCAACTATAAAGTGAAAAAGGGGCTATAGCCTTAAAGCTAGTCAACACCAAACGGTGATTAGTGTATACGGTGATAAAAGTAAAGCGAAAAGGAAAGCAAGTAGTACACTAGAGAGTCAAGTGGTATAAGTTAAAGGATAAGAATTTGGCAGAAGTCATTCAACAGTAGATTTTGAGGAAAAGATAGGGTAAATGACTGATGTCAAGTCAATATAAAGGTAGGTACGACTGGAAGAAGTGCAGGAAAAACATCTAGTAAAGGTCCCTAGGACAAAGAAACTTGTTGGGGAAACGATGAAGTTTAACAGAAGATTACGGAGTTGAAAAAGGCTATAAATCGGTATGATAGGTCTAAAAGAGAAGAAGATTTGGGTATATACAATGTAGCAAAGAGAGAAGCAAAACCGCTATAGTTCATTTCCAAGTAAAGATTGTCTTAACAGCTGTATGAAAAGTTGGAAATACACGAGAGAATGAAAAGGTTATACAGCATCGCTAAAGCAAGTTACAAGTCATCAAAGGACTTCACTCAAGTGCGGCAGATTAAGAGTTATGAACTGATGTTGAAATCAAGAATATATGGTATAAGTACTTTAGAAAGTTGCTAAATGAAGAACACCAGAGGAGAGACAGAGGATGTGGGATCCCAAATGAGAATGTAATGCTGGAGATAGCGAGAGATAAGTTGTCGATGCGTGCATTTATTCAAGGATGAAGAATGCATCGTAAGGCATAGAACCTGATGGAATATCTGTGAAGGTTTGGAAAGCTTTAGGAGAGGAAGTGGTTGATGTTTTGAGGTAAATAATGTGTAGGATATATAAGCAAGAAAGGATGACCAACACATGGAAAGAGAGTCTAATGGTATCATTGTGTAAAGATAAAGGGAGCATTTAGCACTTTAAGAACTATAGAGGGATAAAGTTAATGTCGCACACAATGAAAATTTGGAAGAGAACTGTAGCGCGAAGGTTATGGAGAGATACACCGATATGAGGAGGACAGAGTATATGTTGTTGAGAGTAACAAGAAGGTTGGCAAATTGTTCACATGATACAGGCTGGTTGGTTTAACTGGAAGCAAATGAGCAGGATATTCTGTGATAGAAAAATCGCCGAAGGGCTGAACGCAAAGAGTGTAAGAGTATGGCGAGGCTTGCGTTGTTTACCGCGGTAAACTAATGGAGGTAGCTGAAATGAAAATGTTAAGGTGTATGACTACAGTCGTCGAAAAGAGTTGGGATGACTACAGTCTTAAAAAGGATTTAACACCAAAGACTGCAATGGTTTGATCAGGTCAGATGTGTTTAATGAAAACTATGTAAGACGAAGGATAGAGCTGTTAGAAGTTGATAAAGAGAGGTGAAGGACAACCGAGAGGAAGATGGAAGTACTGTGTGGCAGAGGAGCTTGAGAGAGAGAGAGGTTTAGATGAAGAGACACGATGAACAAAAATGAGTGACGAAAGAAGAGTAAGGAACAATGATCCTGAAACTACAGCGTCGAAAAGAGTTGGGATGACTAAAGTCTTAAAAAGGATTTAACACACCAAAGGACTGAAATGGTTTTGATCAGGTCAGATGTGTTAATGAAAACTATGTAAGACGAAGGATAGAGCTGTTAGAAGTTGATAAAGAGAGGTGAAGGACAACCGAGAGGAAGATGGAAGTACTGTGTGGACAGAGATGCTTGAGAGAGAAAGGTTTAGATGAAGAAGACACGATGAACAAAAATGAGTGACGAAGAAGAGTAAGGAACAATGATCCCTGAAACGGGAAAAATTGAGGAAAGGAGAAGATCATATTTTTTTATCAATTTTTATACACTTTACTTTCTTATAAATAAAATTTTGTATAACTAGTAATTGCATTGTTTAACAAAAAACTGTAGAGTTCCTACTGACCCCACTCGTAACAAATCACTCAGGTGTCGCAAAATAAATACGGTATTATGAGGTTTATTAGTGATATTATCTACATATATACTACTATGTAAGATCTACATTGTAAAATATTTGTAAAATATTTACCTTTACAGCCCCCATAAAGTGCGTCAAAGCAAAACTTATATTTTTTATTAAATCATATTCGTTGTTGTACACATACAAAATACTCAAAAACTCTGTAAAAGTGAAAAACAAATTAACAAAGAGAAAAATCCCAATTACGTATAACGTGTATAATGACTGAATAACATCATTTTGACTTTCTGGCCGCCACATGCCAGCAAATCTGAGTATCCATCGATTGACGACAAAAAAATCTTTCACGTATAGATCTTCTTCCATCTTATTAGGAAACTCGGGTCGTTATTTTTAAAGCTTCTTTTATATAGTGTCATCACAAAGTATATAAATGTGAGAATGAACAGATCACGAAAATGTGTTTTTCGTTCATTATTTAGTACAATGTACTAAATTTAAAGCTAAGACTATCAAAGGAAAATTGGCTATTTAATCATTTAATGTTTTATATTTCTCTTAAAGACTCATATTTGAACACTTGCAAAGTGTTTTCTAGAAAATCGTTTAGTATTCTCAATATTGAATTTTCGTGGTTGTAGAAATTATAAAGGAACGTTTCAAAGTAATTGTATGTATTTTAACTAGAATCTGCGATTGAATTCTTTTTGCGCTTTTTGTACAGGTTTTATTTCGCAGTGGAAGGTATTATAAATGTTGTATATATTTTTAATATTATGAAAGTATTGTATTGTACACGAAGTCATTTACTATTTCTTTTATTAATAAAATGATATTAAATGATAGGGGAGGTCGGGGTAATGGCGTCACCTTAAGAGATCATTTTTTGTGACAATTTTGATGATAGAAAAGAACTAAGTTTTTAACTTAAATTAGTTTTCAGAAATTTTTCTTTCGCCTTGGTTAAGCGACAATAAACGCAACGCTTTTTCGTGTAACGTGACGGCATTGCCCAGGCCTAGGGGTAATGGCGCCACCTACTGAACTGAAATGATGGATAAGACTTCTCTATAAAACATGTTCTAAGCAAATATCTTTATTGAAATTTATTTGGAAACATAAAAAAAATAACAGTATAATGAATGATAAATGAAAACATAACCCAAAAACAACTTACTATTCTATTCACAGAAGTTACAAACATAATTTTTGGCACTGTCTTTTCCACTGCATTGAGAATGAAGCCCATTTCAGCAAAGTGTACAGTGATACCAAAGTTCAGTGTCTCCAAATTCTCCACAAATTAAACATTTCTCCTTATCGGCAAACACAGTGGGTAGGTGATATCAATATTTGAATTATCATCACAAAGTTTGTCATTATCAAAATCTTCTGACGATGTTTCATCAAAATCGAATTTTGGTCTGATAGTTTTCTTCATTTTCTTTGTTTTTTATTCTTAGAAAGCTCGTCTTCAGATATAAACGTCCTTCTGTTTTGTTTCAATTTTTTTTTTTATTTTTTTCCAATATTTTTGTTATTTTTGCAATCTGTAAAATTTCGTTTTACTGCTTTCGCTTTTTGCTTCAACTCCCTTTTTTCTTTAGCATCTTGCAGGATATATTTCATTGGTGTCGAAGTCAAAATAATAGAATTTTGCTTTCTATCCTAACCTTTTTGTTTATGATAGGTCCTGTTAGTTGGCATTTGTGAAATGTCGAGAATACTTTTTGAAAAATCTACTTTTCCTGACGATGTCCCCGGTTGACTACGATTAATAATCTCAATAGCAGTAGCAGTAGCAGGACTTTCAGGAGGATTTTCATTAATAGGTGCCTCATTAGTAGAGGTATCATTGAATTTTTTAGAATTTTCCTCCTTGTCCTCAACAATTATTTGCTCTATGACTGAATGAGCAGGAGCAAAATCTTCTTCACTGAATTTATCTGGTTGAAACGGAAAAATTCCACATGTTTTGAATCCTGCCACTGCCTTTTCAAGGGTAGCAATCATCAAGTAAGCTTTGCTGAATATCGGAGCAATATCGTATGTGATTTTTTGATGAAAATTTGTTTTCATAAAATTACCACACTCCTTATTGAACGTATTCTTAAGAGGCCGTAGAAAGATATATCTAAGGCTGAAGTATGTGAGAGAAATGGGTGGAAGCGACATAACGTGAATGTAGTTTGAACGGCAAAAGTCATAACATGGCAAAGAAATATGGGTTTCATGATTATTCATTAACAGAAGGACAGGGTCCTCTTCACTTGACTTGGTTGGTTCTCTGGAAATGTTTCAGCCAATCTAAAAATAAATCTTCGTTGGACCACTCATTGTGTGAACATCTATAAATAGCTCCAAGAGGTCATCCTCGCTGCAATAAAGGTGACATCCGTTTCCTTGGATAAATAAACATTGGGGGCGTATATATTCCTGAAGAGCTCATGGCACACACTACAGTGATATTCTTGCAACGCTTCCAACTCATAACTCCTCCCACTTGCTTCTGTCCTCTTGGTTCAGAATTTTTTCCGGTTTTTGTACTATGGAAAATTCCAGTTTCGTCCATATTATTCAGTATTATACAGTATTGATAATGCCTGGTAGACCCTTTTGTTGTAGTCATCCACCCACTGTCTAATAGATTGTTTAGTCTCATTAAAATGGACAGGTTTAAGTGTGAGATCTGGATTATGCAATCTAGTTAGATTAAAATATTATATTTGTCATATTTAAACAGTTGATTTCAGTTCATTTGTCAGTTGGGCCTTTGGTCAATGCTTAGTTACATAGAATTTTGATATGTGCAGATCACATTTCCATGATTGTGACTGCCCATCCAAGCTGTCATATGTCACATGTCACCTTAACATTTCCATTAATATCGTAGCCACTCTCCCCCTGTTGCCGATCAGAATGTAGCTTCGACTAATTTTTTTTTTAAATAATTTTAAACTGTTTGTCCTTGTTTAATGTAGTGTACAATTTTATGTTTAATTTCATGTTTATGACATTCTGCGCTTATTGGATAGCCCAAAATTGACGAATTAAGTCTAAAACGTTAATCACAAAAAAAACTTTCTTCGTCCATTAACTTCGAGTTTTTATCGAAGTTACTCAATTTCTTCATTTAAAAAAACGTCTTGTTTCAGATGCCCCTGAAGATGCTCTAGGAAACGAAAGTACTTGGGCAAGATTTCATCAATAAAACTGTGCTCGATATCTGCCTTTCATTTTATCAAAACTTTTTTATATGTATAGAGCTCATCGAGCAAACAGTCTTCTCTTTTTGCTTGATGATAGGGCTTTCCATCAGTCGCCATGTTTTTCGTACAGATTTGACAATGACGTATAATATATAATATAGTGACGTATAATAAATAAATATTTTTATTTATAAACGTCATTGTATTTTTATAATAAGTGTATTCGCTCCGTGCGTGACTGACGCGACACCTACCGCCTTCAACTGACAATTTTGGAGTCCCAATTTTCAGGTTAAATATATGACATATGTTTGACATTGTTAAATACATGCGACATTGACAATTATTAATAAATTAGTTTTTAACTATATTTTTTCAGTTTATGTACAAAATAAATGTAGTATTAAAAACTGGGTTTCTCAAAATTCATCATAATATATCTTTTCAACTCCAAACGGAAAAGAAAGGGAAAAATCTAGTACTGGCAAATCAAGTTTTTCACGCAAAAGAGCATATAATTAAAAACAGTAATAGTAAAAGTTATGATATAAAAGCTAAAGTCATCTGCAGTTAGCTTGAAGCCTTATGAAATATCATTCAAGGTAAATTATTTAAATTTTTCCTATTTCAATTGCATAAAAATGAAATTATGTCATATTTACTTTTTCATATTAATAGCACGAATTCATCTTTTTCTTTTCTCTAATTTATATGTAATCTTTGGGAACCTATAAAAACTACACTCACTGTTTTTGCTATTATTAGCACAATTAAATACGCAACATGTATTTCCACACATTTTTGATAAAATTTATGCGTAAAAATATTTTGTCCAATATTCCAATTTTGTCATATCTCGCCGCTACGCACGCTGGCATCGTTTCAATGTACCCCTACCTGGTCACGCACGAGCGAATATGTATGCAGTGGCGTAGCTAGGGTGGAGCGAGAGGGACGGTCTGTCCCGGGTGTCATCTGTTCTAGGTACTTCAAGAAAAATATGTAAACATTCATCTGCCGTAATATTCTCACTTAAAAATTTTATAAAAACTGCATACAATTTAGTGTGTATAATTATCAAGAGGGATACGCTATATATATCTAATGGTATTCGGCCACATCCAGAATAGTTTTGCTCATTGGAAAAGAGTTAAGATAACAATATGCAAATACTTCCAGAAATATCTGGAACACAAAAATAGAATGTATCACTTGCGCAAGACCATGGAAACGATGCTGATTCTGAAGAACCTCAAACTCTGTCTGACCAAGAATTAACCCAATTAGAATCTCTCTTTGACTTAAATGGAGCTAAATTCAATCCCACTATATTTTTATTTACCTGCGATTCAGAAATTGGTATTTAATGAGGCTTGTTTTGCAAACACCGAGACAGGTTTGGTTTCTGCTTTCTACACTTTTGGAAGTTACAGTGGAGTAGAGCAAAAAATGAAGTCAACTTTAAAATCTAGTAAATCTCGCAGTCTCATCAAATAAAAATTGGAGTACAACCAACTGCTATTGGACGCCGAAAGTATTGTTTGCCGGGAAAACAAAAAGTAAGTGCTGGTCGGCCAGCAGGATCTCGACTTACCATAAAGGCTTTACTGCCACACAACTATACCACTTTCGGACATTTACCTTGCCATAAGAATGGCTTCTCATGATTAGGAAAGTTGTGTATATGGCAATAAATCATTGGATATGATGTAACAAGCAAAAACACAAATATAAATTTTGACTATACCCAAATAAAAATAATATTTAAATTGAGTTTTATTTATGTTTAAACAAACCATTTTGCAACAAAAAAACTAATTACCTTTAACAAAAAACTGCAGGAACATAATTAGTGAAAAAATGTTTTATCAAATTCAGGTAAAATTCTTTCGTACTTGTAAAATTCTTCTCTGACAAATTCTTTTAAAACTTGGCTACAATCACTATTTTCAGAATGTTTTTGAAGATGTTCTACTATGTCAGCTAAAACGATGACTCCTCCAAGAATACTTATTGTTACAAGTATGCGAATTATTACTGGCATTACCATTTTTCTGTTCTTTGAGATAAGTTAAATTATAGTATTTACTTGATTATTTATAATGTGTAGTTTTAGCCTTATTACATGATGAAACATACAGTACAATTAATTTTGACAATTAATAAAGAAATGTATGTCAGTATATGCTATAATAGTGCCCGTCAAATAGTTATGGTTCGAGGTTATCTGTTCCGAATCGTGTCAGGATAGTTATTATTTCTCCTTTAGTGTCTACGGACATTAAAACAGAGGATAGAGGAATAATACCAAAGACAAATTCGATCTTGTAACGGTTCTAATATTTAGCTTGAAAATTCGAATTATATCCAGTTGTTTGTTCCACCACAGAATAATTAACACAATTATTATGTAGTTTCACAAAATGTGTTTTGAAATATGGAAGATGACGTTGAACAAAATGATAATCTTTTATGGGTCGTTTTAGTCTGTAGATTATGGACCCCTAAGATATACTTTCATAGTTGCCTTGAATAATATGCTTTAGAAGTTGACACATCGGGACTTGGCATAGTTTTTGGTAAATCGAAAATGATTGCAACTTTGCTTTGCATCCTTTAGGTCATGACTCTCATCTTTTGCTGTACATACTGTTACGTTCCAAATGTTGCATTAGGCTCCATCTCCTAGTTTTGCAACTGGTTAAGGTCGATTCAGACACATCAGTCACGTCTCGTCACCATCTCGTCACAGTGATTGCGCCGAATCGAACAATCCGTCATATAAAATATTCTTTAATACAAATATGGCGCCGGCATTCACACTCATCAGTTGACGAACAGTTTGCCAGCTGTCAGATAGTTGATAGTTCTGTGACCAAACAGGACCGGTTCGGTACCGTGACTGTGACGTGACTGATGTGTGTGAATCGACCTTTAGATGTCACAGCCCCGTTTATACAAAAACAGATATGTAATATTGGTTGCCTACAGTCAAGGTAGAGAAATGAAATTTTATTAATTTTATTTTTGGGGGAAAAATGATTTTTTTTAAGTGCTAAGAAACTAAGGAAAAAATTCTTTTTTTATGAAGGAATTAATTTATATGAGGTTTCTAGTGATATTTTGTAAGATTTGGTGTTCCAAAATTTAGGATTTTGGAATCTCGGGTCTAGTCGGCAAATCTTCGTGTGACGGGCGCTGGATAACGGCTTTTAGGTTTGAAGAGTCATTCTTTAGGTGAATTGGCGTGGAATAAGTCGCTGTATTAGAGTATTTACCGGCAACTGTATTTTGCTGTTTCCTGAGGGATTTCATTCAAATACAATGTAGCGGATTGTTCCCCTAGCTTTGTGTCCTTAGTGGAAAAGTTTGTTTTGGTGTTAGAATATTCGCAGATTCGCCAAAGGGCGGTTTTACCAGCCACGTTTCATCTTTGGAATCAGTTACAATATAGACCGAAGATCGAGCTTTAATCACGATCCAGATAGCCAAGTAGTTTACGGCTAGTCTTTAACCCTTGGTCTGGCTAACAAGGGTTCAGGTTCCGGTTTCGTTTCGTTATCGTTTTGTTTTTGGGTTTTGGTTTTCCCATTGCCTGATTTTAACCGTTTGGTGGTTGATTTTCGTCTTCCTGGCTGGACGTAGCCCATCATGTGCTCCTGATTCGACCTGGGAGGTGTTTCGACCTTCGTACTGTTCTCTGCGAACGACTTCGCCGTTACAGCTTTTAATGGACTTCCCCCCGCTGCGTCTCAGTGGACTTAGAAATTGTGAATCTCGAAGACACCCCGATGGAGGAAGTCACACAAGTAACGACGTATTTTATGTGATAAATTCGATGGTATTTATCGAGCTTTATTTCTTATTCAGATAACATTGTTAAGAAAATAAAGAAATTGCGGTCTCAGGTATTTTATATATTTACACATTTTCCGGGTATGTAAACTGCGCCTAAGGGTAGATAATTTTTTTATTTAGATTTATATTTTATGTCATGATCTGCACACACAACCTGAGCTCACGTGGTTGTCGTATTTTGAGTTAATACATTTTTTTTACTGGTTTTAATTCACACACCATGTCCCCCTTAGCGTTTGGTAATTTTTTATTAAACATCTTAACCTGTAATATATATTTATTCTAGTGTTACTTGTTGATATCATATTTAAGCAGTAATACCCGCATTACTACATTATTATTTTCTTTTAAGCCTATGGTAGAGGGAAATAACAGTGTATTTTGTTTCATTTTATTTTAATCATTAAATTTGACCAAATCTTGATCTTAGACAATTTGTATTTTTATTTATCTCACATTTTATTTAGGTTGGTGTATCCTATACTTGGTAAGTTTGGCGATAAACCTAATTGGTAAGTTGTGTGGTTTATCATAAGCAACGTAGGGGAAGCTGTGGGCCAATTTACCTGGCGCCCCTTTGATAACTTTTGTATACTTCAATGGACTGCACGACCAGTCTCCACTGTTTGTCTAGCCGCGAGCCATTCTCATACTGTCACCGTATAGTTTTTGTCGGTGTACGTCTAACCTATATGTGGTGAACTAGTATTGAATTAGTTTTTTATAAATTGCGCTCTGGTTCACCATAATACGGCTTCCGCCTTACGCAAGTAAAAATCTTTTTCTGTCTGAGCTAAAGCGTTTTCTTCTGCCGAACCATGATTTATTTTTATCTAAAATTTGTCACATTTATCATAGGTATCTGTACTTGCCTTTTGAAACTAAGGTTGAACTGAGTATTAAAAAGTATTCCTGTAAAAGCTTTCCTTTACAAATTATTCCTGTTTTTCCTCCTTACAGAAATCACAAAGTTTGTACAATATTTTCAAATTACACTCCTGAGGAAGATACCTCCTATTTGGAATCTTATTTCTAGTGTACTGGCTTGTGTACCTAGGGAACTATTAATATGCTCTTTGATGATTTCAATTACCCTTTCAGAAATTTTGTTCGGGGGAGATTTCTTTACTCATTTGTCTATGCATGACACTTCTGAGATAACTTTTTTTTGCTTTCAACTACATTTTGTAATGTTTGTTGGAAACATCAAGAGTTTTCATTATAACCTGTTTACATACTCCAAAACCATCCAGATTATAAACACGTGACGCCTCTTTGTTGCTAACTGCATTTAGTTTTTTTCTTTTTATAGGCTCAATCTGTATGGATCTATTTAGAAAAGCTGTTTGGAGGTTCCAGTGCCCAATGCTCAATACTCTATAAAAATTGAAAGTCTTTGTTCTCGTGAAATATTGTTGGTACATTATTCCTACAATGATGATTTCAAGTTCCGTACTATTGTTTTGATATGTGTTTTTGTCCATCTAAGCTTACCTGAATTTCTTGCCATTTTAGCCGTATTTTTTACTTATCTGGCCTCCGAATCTGAAGCGAACTCTTTTTAAAAACATTAGTTTATAATAACTAAAACGCTGCAGTTTATATTAAAGTATTACTTTAATAACAAAATCATATTGCTTTAGGAGGAGTTATACCTACCATTCCCCATCCAAAATAATAACAAACTTAACTAAAAGTCTGACGGAAAAGAGGTACAAGTGCACTTGTATCTCTTCTCTTCCACGCCCTACTCATTTGGCTTGGAGGCTAAGTAACTTACCGCTACAAAGCAGCACCTGTTCGACTTATCGCTTAGATCTCTTTACCTTCTAATAGAATAAAAGATTTGCAGTTCAGTGATGTAGTTTTCTCAATATTTACTAAAATGTCACTTATAGGGGAAAGTGGTCTACATTCGGCCATATAAGTGGTAGTTATTTTTTCGTCGTAATTTTTTACGTATATTAAAGGTAAGTTGTAAGTGATTAATTTTTTGCTAATGACAACTAATGGTCATTGGCATGGTACAGTGAATTTTTACTGTCAGGTACCTAGTGTAGGTGTGTGTGTGTGTGTGTGTGTGTGTTGTGTGTGTGTGTGTGTGTGTGTGTGTGTGTGTAGGGTAATTGTCTTGATACTTAGCAAAGTCGACGTCATTGTCTTTGCTAAGAGACGCTAATTGTATCCGAACGTCTGCGGTCCCTCCGGTGAGTACCGATCGCACAAGCATAGAAATTATTTTCATTCATTAATTTTTAATAAACGAAAATTTCTCCACCCAGGTGAGATTCGAACTCACGACCTTTAGGTTCAAAGGTAGGCGCTCTTACCACTGAGCCACAGAGGGGGTTATATTTGTATATTGATCTTGTTTATATCTAAGTAAATAATAATTATTTCTGTTTACTAATTTGTTCTAGTTGCCTAGGAATTACACAAAAAAACCAATCGCTGTGACATTAATGAAAATACCATGAAATTGGCCATTAAAGCCGTATTGACAGAGCGTTCAAGTCAATACAAGGCTGCCCAAGAGTATCAAGTCAAAAGACAAACCATACAGTCAAGAATTAAGGTCCTTTTAAAGAAAAAAACAAAAGAAGAGCTTTTGGCTGGATGGGCTGATTCAGGCAATGAAAGTGAAGGGAGGCTTCGTATACTAGCAAATATACAGCTCGTTAAGTTTTTACTTTGCATGAAGAGTTCGAGCTTGTAGCTTACTAAAAACGTTCCAACTTAAACTACGGCCTAAACTATAAGGATATAAGGAAACTGGCTTATGATTTTGCTAATGCTCTACCGAATACTACAGCACCAAACAGTTGAATAAAATGGCAGGTTAGTTTATTTCTTTTGTATATGTGTAAATTCAAGCAGCTAAAGAAATATTTTTTAGGTCTGGAGTGGCTACGTTGCTTTATGAAAAGATATCACAACGATATCTCGCTTCACAAACACGAAAATACAAGTAGGTCGATGGCTTTTAATAAACCACATAGAAGATTTTTTTACCAAGTATGCCAATGTCCTGGAAAAATACAAGTTTAAGCCGGAACAGATCTGGAATCTGGGTGAGACTGACATAACGACAGTTATGCCACTTGCTAAAGTTGTTGAACCAAAAGGCAAAAAACAAGTGGCTCTCATCTCTTCACAGGAGAGAGGTGAACTTGTGACGTTCGTAGGGATAATTAGTGCAGCTGGTGGAGCATTACCACCAGTCTTTGTGTATCCTAGAATAAGAAACCCTGAAGAATATTTAGGCGACGAATACCCAACATCTGCCATGGCGTTAGGAAATAAGAAAGGATGGATGACGTCTGACCTCTTCCCAAAAGTACTAAAACACTTTGCAATTCTGTTAAATGTTCTGTGGAAAGCAAGGTACTTCTGCTCTTGGACAACCCACATATCTGTCATCATTATCACCATTGGTGCTACAGCCCTATAAGCAAGAGCCTCGACCTTCCCAAGTCTATTACGCCAGTCAGTTCTATCCATTGCCAACTGTTGCCAGTTTGCTGCGCCTATTTTTCTACCATCCTCATTTACACCATCCCTCCATCTGAGTTTTGGCCTACCCCTACTTCTACTTCCCACAGTTTGTGACATAAGGATTCTTCTAGAGGGTTGTTCTGCTGTACATATCTGTAGAAGCCATTAAATTGTGTCTAGAAAAGGGGATCGTTTTACTATCTCTTCCACCTCATACGACACATAGAATTCAGCCACTAGATGTTGCCGTATTTGGACCGTTTAAGGTTACACCTATATTAGAACCGTATTTCTCCCGATCCGATCTTGTCCAATGTATGCCGATTTTTCGATCCGACGTGAGTTCCTATACTCGTTCAGTTAACGCCCGACCACCGACAATGAGTTTCGATGAACCTTTAATATGTTGGCTGTTGTTAGAAAACAACGATCTTAAAAGAAGTAGAAAAAAACGTACACGGATACATAAATTTAATGAAGACAGATCTTCAGGAAAATTAAATAAAACTTTCCAAACTTTACATAACACTATCCTAATAAATTTAGAGAGTACCACCGAATGAGTATAGAAATCTAACTATACAATCTAAGCCAACCTAACTTCAGAGAATGTATTAGCCCCGAAGAAAAACTTGGGTACACCTATATTGGAACCGTATTTCTCAACCGATCAATCAAAATTTCTCTGTCCATTTCTGCCATTTGGCTCTCGTCGAACGAAAAATCGGAATGAAACCAAACAAGTTTGATGGAGAAGCTACTCAGTCCGACGTCGCCGATATCGGTCGTTATCTGATCGGGGTCCCCACTGCAGTATAGGCACTATGCATTAATACCTTGAGTTTGTTTTCAATCCGACGTCGGATGACGTCGCCCGATATCGGATCGGGAGGAATACGGTTTCAATGTAGGTGTACAGTAAGTCCTATTTAGGTACAGCTCAGCATGACTGGCTACTTTCAAATCCTGCAAAAACCCTTACAATTCGAAATGTGGCGCGTTTGGCTAAGAAGGCATATGAATGTGCATTCACAATTAAAAATATAACCAGCTCGTTTAAAAATACTGGTCTGTGGCCAATAAATCGACTTGTATTCAGTGATACAGATTTTATGCCAAGCGAGGTAACCGATAAACCATTAATGGAAAACAAAGACGTTAGTTCTATTGATACCATACAAAGTGAATTAAACACCGAAACAATTCCGCAAATTCCTTCGACATCAAGCTGTATAGTAGAAAAAAATATTAATAAAACACCTTCAGGCTCGCCTCAAGTTCTTCCCACATCGACTAACACACTGAGTCAAATTAGACCATATCCAAAGAAACAACTTGAAGAAAAGAAAAAACAAATAAATAAGAGAAAAGCACACTCAACAATATATACAGACACGCCGGAATACGAAAAAAGACAAAGTTTAGATGCAGAGAGAAAAAGGAAACTAAGTTTAAAACAAGGATAAGGCATCAGTAAAAAAGGTTTGATTACAGTGGGTAGGAAAAGAAATATTTCTATGTCAAGCGAGTCTAGCGCTGACGTAGTTTTGCAAGATTGTTCGTCAGATGACGGCGAAGAAGATTTCGAAGATTTTAAAGCCATCCCCGACAATGAAAATATTGGCGTCGGATATTTTGTTCTTGTAAAATTTCTTGTTTCCAAGATAGATTTTTTATGTAGGCAAATAACTTCTTTCCAAAATGAGGATTACGAGGTCAAATTTCTGCGCCGCAAAAATAATACAAACAGCTTCTTGTTTCCCATTGTCCAAGACATTGCATTAGTATCAATTTTGCCATTTTTCTTCCACTCATGGAACTGCAAGAACATCAGTGTTACAATTTATGTTAACTTTTCTGGTTTAAACGTAAGATAAAATCAATGTTTAATTAAGTTTATAGGTAGGTACTTTTCTTTTACTCATATTTACTTTTACTGTATTTTGATATATAGCCGAATGTGCCCTTCATATGGCCGAAACTACTCCTAATGTGGGGAAGTTTCGGCCAATTGTAAAAAATTTTAAAAATACAAAAATATCAGCCAAATTTATCTCTACACTTTTTTCTCTTTTAAAACAAGTTCCTAATAAGTTACAGGTTCATCAAAAAATATTGTTTACTGAATTATGTAACCAGTTTTTCAAATTTGGCTTCTAAGGCCAATATGCCGAATGTGGACCACTTTCCCCTACTCCTTTATTTCTAGGGTCCTTAATTAATCTATGCATTTTGCTCTCAAATGGCGCACACTCAGAATAATTTATTTTGATTTTTCTAATATTATCACTAAAAACAATTATTTAGTCGACACTGCAAACAATGTGTGTTTTAGAACAACCTACAAACAATTTCCCATCTATTGCATTTTGTTTTTATTTAAAAAGTAAGTAATTTGTTAAATTATTAACACAAAGAACCATTATTTATCTATCACAAAGAACTAATTGGTTTTCATGAATTGGTTTTATAATATGCGACAAACGATTCCCCAATAACAACTGTGGGTGGTGTATCATGTGGTGTATAATGTATAATACTAAATCTTCTTTTTTTATGGACTTTTTTAAATTCAACAGATTTCAGGTTATGTTAAGAAGCAATGTCAAAGTCACAATTTGTAAAACGAAAACAGTCGAAAAATCAAAACAATTGGTTGAAAGTCTACGTGTCGATAAAGATAAAATGTAAATAAGTTTTTACTTATTCGCTATAATTTGAATTTGAGAGTGTTTCAACATAATGCTAAAAGCCATAATTTTAATTGGAGGGCCACAAAAAGGTATTAATAATTATTCTTAATTTATTCTTACTTAAATGTAAATTCTTACTCTAATTTTTACAGGAACAAGGTTTAGGCCTCTTTCATTAGATATTCCTAAACCTCTTTTTCCGGTAGCTGGTTTACCATTGATTCAACATCACATTGAAGCATGCAGTGCCATAGAAGGGGTAAAAGAAATTCTTATAATTGGATTTTACCCCATATCTCAAATCCAACCATTTGCAACAGAAATGCAACATTTGTACAACATAACAGTCAAGTAAGATTTAATTATTGGACTTTTTAAATGCATGACAGACTTTAAGCCATGTCAAGTGGTCTTTGAAAAGGTGAATGCTCATGCTGATTTTTTAAACTTTTTTTTGTTTTTTGCAAGGTAGAGACAAATTGCTTTTAAAGTTTTTTGTACCCTTAGAATTCATATGTAATATAAATATAAATGTTTTGTTATCTACATCTACATGTTTAAAAAGTGTAACTAAGAGGTATATGTTCCAGTGCAATATTTTTTTTACCACCTGATTGTTGTCAACTACAACTAACACATACTTACCTATATATTTTTTTTTTTTTGTTTGATGAAATATTGTGTAATATATATTTACTAGATATCATTCAGTGATTAATTCTTCTAAAATAAATATCTTTGTAGGGGTTGTTTCCAATGTGCCTAATCTGAATTATTTTTGTGGCAATTTGTCATTCAATTTTAAGGCTTAAAGTTCCTATAGATGTATAACCTATATGTGTTCCTATATGTGTGATAATGTTTTGTCATTATAAATATACAGTGGTTTTAAAAGTTTAAAATGCAAATTAAACATTTATTATACTATATCTAAAACTATGATATATGACATGTAAGAAAGTAATACTTTGATATCAACTAAAATTTAAAAAAATTAACCAGTGGCATATTATTAGTGTTAGTGACAACGTTTTGCTTCCTATTTCTTATGAAATTGAAGAAAAATTAGATGTATTTTTATGTTTTTTATTTAAATGTGGGCTCATATTTGGATAAAAAATGTTGTGGAGCTAAATGTAGAATTATTTATAGTACAACAAACAACAAGAAATCGAGGAGGGTGACACATACATATAACAAGATATATCAATTGTATGAGGTGCAAATTAAATTTTTGTTTACTAATAAGAAACATCAAAATAATATTGGTTCACAACAGTTTAAAAGCTTTCCATAAAGAGTATCCCTGTTAAGATAGTCTAAATGCCTTCAATCCCAGAATTCAATGTTTTTCATTTGTTCATTTCAAAAATTGGACTCAGCGCAAGTTAAGCCACCCCACCCTTTGGCCTTTACCCAAAAACAGCATTGTTTCGTTTTTTTTTTCAGTGGGTTGCAATCAATTGCAAAGTTTTAAAAAATTCACACACATAGTTGAGGCTTTTACAAAACTTGTGTAAGAACTGTTTTTGTTAGCTGCTTGTCAATTCAATTAATACTTCATCCTTTCCTGTGCTCTTATTTTTCTTTAGTTTCTCTATTATTTCTTTTTCATTAGGAGGTCTTTTCTCTGTTCATTCTTGATCTGTATTTTGCTTCAGTTCTTCTTTCTCATATTCTGTTGCAGGTATTTCATTTAGAAGCTCTTTGAAGTATTCTTTCCATCTGTTCAGTATTTCCTCATCCCTTCCTAAATTCCTTCCATTTTTGGAGTATACAGGTTTTCTTTGGTAACCCTTTTTCTCAATTTTCATCCCTTGATATAAGTTTCTAATTTATTTATTTTTAAAGCTTTCTTCTATGCATTTCAATTTATCTTCATTGTATTTTCTTTTCTTTGATCTTATGATTCTTTTGGCTGGTTTTCTTTGTTCGTTGTATCAGTTTTCTCTATCTCTGATGTTTTTTCTTGCATTTAGTTTGAGTCGTAATTGATTTCGTTCACTCCTAGTTTCGTTGTTATTACATATCCCCTCTCATTGAACAGCTCTTCTGGCGTATTCCCCAATATATTTGTATATATATATATAGTATATATATTATATAAGTATGATTAATGATATGATGGATAATATGAAATTTTATTTTGGGACGGATGCCAGTACATTTAAGTCGGGTTGGATAACGTTAAAACGCTGTTCTTCTTAATATCAAGCTGTTGCAAGAATTTATTTTGCTTCATCAGGATATGCTAAAATATGCTATGGTAAATACCAATGAAATTAGAATTAAAAAAAACATTGTATAAAACTAATATATTTATAGAAATACCATCCAAATTGTGATAAGGTATAACACACAATTAAATCTAATAGGTAGACTAACATCACATAAAAGTGACTTAGAAATAATAAAAATAGTGTGCATTAATAGATCATGCAATTAATAATAATCATTCATTTAATTTTAATGAAACTAATATTATTAAGACGTGAAAACCAATTAAATAAAAGAGAATTTTTAGAAATGGTATGCATAAATAAATATCAATGCGTTAATAAAAAAAACTGATATTAACAAACTCAGAATATCTATAATTACATTCTATCTTACGAAAATTAATACTTTAATTTTCTAATATATGATTTTCTGACTATAAATACTATATTTTCAAAAATTTAAATATTCATATTTGGCGCCACTTTGTATCGTAAGCATAATAACATCTAGAGCTAGTTATCAATATAAAAACAGACACGAGTGTCTTTCTGACATAAATCAAACATCATTATAATAATCTAATGTCATGTAATTATAAGATAATCAAAAATGTAAAATATATGCGTGACTTACAAAAGTTATAATTTTGATAAGTTAAGAAATGTTCGTTGGGTATTATAATTTTTTTATTGGGTTAACCTCATGTTGTAAGTTTTTATATCTTAGTTTTATACAATGTTGTTGTTTTGTATTTCTAAGTTGCATTGTATTTACCATAACTAATATATTAGCAGTATCCCTAGTTGAAGCAAAGTAAATTTTGCGAAAGCTTGATTTTAAGAACAAAGATGTTTAACTTATCCGTACCCTACGTATAATGACTGCATCTTCATACATTGAATTTTCATTTTAACCTTCAACTAGTGTCAGTCAATGAATACGCTAACTATTAAATATTATATATATATATACTTTATTTATAACTTCATATTTAGTGTTATATAATATTATATATATATAGACGTTATTTATATTCATATGCAGATTTGTCCCCTCAATTTCAAGAGGTTTCATTATTTATCATTTATAGTATATATATATTTATATTATAGATATTCTAGTAAACTCTTAAATATTGGGGAATAGCGATTATAGATCTTACTATTTGGGAGAAAAGTACAAGAAGTTTGAGTGTCGAGTCTGAGGATATTTATAACGATGTATATATAGGGTGTTCAATAGTTCCAATTTTATGTAATATTATGTATATGCTCCTAAGTGATTTCTTGTGCAATCTTTTGGTGCTGGTAGTATATATGATCATTAATGTATTATTCACTGCACACACTAAATTTAACGCCATTATTTTAAAAAACCCTGGGTGAAGATCAAATAATGTTAATGTATTTCGATTTTGGTGCTTATATTTTATTGTTACCCACCCCTAGATGTTAATATTTATCGAAAGATAAGAACGGTAAAAAACAACTGGACGTTCGTTTACCCATAATTTTTGGCAACAAAAATTAAAAATACATCCCAATAGGTGCTTCTGTTGTATTTCAAATTTAGTTGGGTTGGATTACGTTGTGCTGAAGTTTAAAGTGGTTTTTCAAGTTTATTAAGTGTTTTTCTTTGAAATGAACCACCAGAGCAGAAAATCAAAATCTGTCAGACAGTGACTGTTTTAGAATCGTTACTCTTCGTCGAAAAGGAACACTCAAGTAAACTAGCTGAAGTTTTAACGTCAACCACTCAACCTTTTCAACAGTGTTAACACGTTTTTTCTGTTACTGGAAAGTAACTCGAGAAGACCCGGTCAAGGCCGTAGTAAGGTTACAACTCCTAATCAAGACTCGGTTTTGACACCTTGTACACTGAGCCAAAGGTTAGTTACCTATACTTTCGATCTACAAAATGAATTTTGATCGTTATAACTTTAGAATCAGCCAAAATACGATTAGAAGAAGACCTGACAAAAACACCTACACCACTGGAAGGGCACCAATTGGCCCATTATTGACCAGAGACCATAGAAGGCAAAATTGCATTTTGCTCGTTACATGTGGATTGAACAATGACGATGGAGAAGATATTGTTACACCGATGAATGAAAGTTACTGTCTTTATTCTGATGACAGAGAGAAACCATGTATAGAAGCCTGGGGACACTACGCCACAGTGTAACACCGTAGGACTGTACAGTATGGCGCTCGCTCGGTATAGCTGTGGGATGGGATTAATTAAGAGGTCTCGTACGGAAATAGTTAAAATTAGAATCCGTGGTCGCTTACATCGTAAGGTATACAACAAACATTTTAGAAGACATGTCGTGCCATTTGCACCATTTATCGGGGATAATTTCATGCTTATGCAAATAATGCCAGGCCACACACGGCAAGAATTGTGCAGCAGTATGCGGGAGTTGGAATTTAATTGCCGTATGTATTGGCCTGCGAGAAGTCCTGACCTCAACCCAATAGAACATGTTTGGGACATCATAGCGTACGACTACGACAACTACCTAATGCCCCAAACACATTTGTTGAAATTTAAGATCAATATTGATCAAGAAGAAAATTAGAACGATTATTTTCAGTATGGTAGAGATTATTGTCAAGCAGTAATAAATACCGAGGAGGCAATACTCGAGTACTAGTACACGGTACTAAGTATTTTCTTTAACTTTAAAAATTTTTAATTTCGTCATTAATTTATAATGTTATTTTGTTTAGATCAGTTTGTTTGTTTAGATAATTGATTTATGATGTCATATTGTTAATCTTCAATACATTTTTGTGTAAAAAAAGAAAAGTTTTTATTTAAGATGTTTTAAAACAACCATAAAGCAAAAAGAACAAACAAACTTTTTTCATTCAAACTCAAAATAAGAATGTTTAAAATTATGCGTTAATTTTGGAGCGCAGGTGTATTTCTTCTTTTGCAAAGTCTATTGAGAAGTGACCATTTCGTTATTTTTGCATTAGCACCACCTTATGAAAACTGAATTTCAATCTCTGTTCACATTAATTCGCACAATACTATATGCAACGTGAGATGTGAAACATGTCGTACCTAAACACTACCGTAGGCGGTGGTACCTGACCAGCTGCGTTACCGGTAACCAAGAT